ACAATTGGGGGTAAACTGTTTCATCAAAAGCCGACTCCTCGGTATACACAGACGTGAAGAAGTCGGACAACAGATTCGCCTTATCTGAGTTGTCAGACAACGTATTGTCCTGGCGATCTTTAAGGCAGGGAATGCAATCCCCGTTGCGGTTTGCCTTATTAACGTATCCAAAGAATTTTTCTGAATTTTTCTAGATAGTTTTTAAAAGTGTTTACTCAAATTGTGCCCGTTCCCTCCTCAACAGATTCCGACATACATTCCACTGTTCTTTGAAGTTAGCGAAATGCTCTGGTTGCTGACATCTGGCGTACTTTTTCCAAAGTCTCCTTTTCAATTTAAGATTCTTCTTTATTTCTGACGTCACCCACTCTGGTCGGCAAGTGCGCAGCTTCCTCTTCTGTGGGCAAAAACTCTCTACCAAGTGCCGCATTATGTTCTTGAAGAAGAGTCAATCGATTTCTGGGTCCGGTCCTTGTGCTGCTTTCCAGTTCACCTTCTGTAGCAGGTTTTTTATTCGGGTATAGTCCCCTTTCCATACATTTCTTTCATCAGCAGCTGGAATTTCCGGTACAGAAAAATGACTATACTCCCAAACAAGAAGGCAGTGGTCACTTCGGCCAAAGGGCGTGTGCGATTCCAATCCCAGAATGCAGCTATCATCCCTAGTTATTATGAGGTCCAACCAACTGGACTGCTGTCCATCTCCGAATCTCGTGTCCACTTTAACATGTTGAGTAAGGAACTAAGTTGTGATCAGTTGCATAAATTTCTGTTCGAATGAGTTTTCTGATCGAGTGCAATGCATCAAATTCCACGCTTTGTCTGGACAGTTGAAGTCACCAAGTAGCATTATGTGTTTGCTTCGACACATTTCTTTTATCTCGGTGATAAGTGCATCGTCCGCATCCGTCCGCTGGCTTGGCGGTCTGTAAACCAGGGCCATATGGAGGCTTGGATGGTTTGGCACCTTCAAGTTACAACTGAGTATTTCACAATCAATGTGCCGAAATGGGGAAAACTCAACCCTGATGTAGTCGATGCCATCTCGTATAAATAGCGCAATCCCCCCCACCTCTTCGTTCGTTTCAGTCCATTCGGAGAATCTGGAAACCATCTAGCATAACGTCCGCATCTTCTGTCTGCGCATTTAACCATGTTTCTGTTAAAGTTATCAAGTCTGGCTAGGTTGCCAAGGCAAAGAATGGGACTCTAACAAACTCTGAACTACATGAGCCCGCGAGTTGACCCCTCCTACAACAGAGTCAGGTTTTCCTGCAGTGCATATCTGTCAGTGTTACCCCAGGGTACACTCCATATTTTCACGTCCTCGATAAACATTATTACTTCACAGGCCAAAATCCTGCGCAATCGTACACGTATATATAGAGAAAAGGGGGTCCCAATACTGAATCCTGGGAAACACTTTTATCATCCACGGCAGAATCGAATATCTTTTTGCAGATGCACACAACCTGCTGCAGATCCACAGGGTCATTTGAGGAAGTTAGGTCTAATACCTTTTGTGTCTCTGGAAGTGTCTAAGACCGAAGACTTCTTTAACGTCGATGACGACGACGTTGGTTGCATGTCTATCCATCTCTGAGGAGACTACGACATATTTTTTTCAGGGATTTTACTTTCGGAGACTGTGTTGGTAGTTGAATAGAAAGTTGTAGGCTTCCGGGAACTGTACTTATTCGTTCTTCATGATGCTCTCCGTAAATTCGCTGAGAATACCTATCTGGCATATTGGCTTAACCACTTCTTATAAGTTCTCGGAGGTAATTGGGAACACGTTATATGTGGTCCGCAGAGTTTGAGAAAGTGGCAGGCGAGTGTTGATGAACAGACGTCATTGCCATAACGGAAAATTACATTAATAACGAAATCGTGGATGCCGAGATTTCGATACCGGGTTACCAGCCGAGAAAAGTAATTTACAAAACCCAGAATTCCTGGCGATTCACAGACCACCAAGCCTTCCGAGCGTAGCTGGTGAATCGTCCCTTCATTTAGTCAAGGACTAGTGTACATATAATCAGGATTGTTTTAGCGGCGTCCGTTGGCGCCTGGTTTACACTTACAGGCAACCTCTGAATTTCCCCCATTTGTTGATGTAACAGTTAATTCTATTTCTGTTTATGGAATTAAATAGGGAGCTCAAGGGTGAAAGCCTCATTCCCTTAATAAACTGACTTAAATCGACGGACTTCTTAGGGAAACTGGGTTTACCCGGTTTTTGATCGGCTGAAATTGAACTCGGATTCTTCTTTCAATTAGGCACTTGCTATCGTTTATTAGGGACTACTGGCAGAGTCGGTAAGAGTGTTTGTATGCAAGGAGTTTTGTTACGCTGATAGATGTGAGTATTAAGAGTAGTCGAGTCCCTTAAGGAATCAATAATGTCATAACGAGTTGAGGCAGCAGATGGTGCTGAAGAAGACTTATTGAACATGACAACAGTAGCCGTTATGTTGGTGTTCGTTTCCTACGTTTTCAATTCGTTCAGTCTTCTCTACATTAATGTTAGATTCGGTGAAAGTGAGCAGTGCCATGTACGGCAGAATTCTTTAATTTTTTACTTTCTCGTCAAAATGAATTCGACTTCTGTCAAGGAGAACAGAATGACTATTATCGGCGCATTACAGCTGAGCGAGAGCAGTAGTTACCCTTGCATGGCACTGATACGCAAGCCAAAAGTTTAAAAAAAAACAGATATACAGCCTCAGAAGTATGTATGGGGTTCGGGCTGTTACGCAGTGTAAAATTATACTTATGCTTTATCCTCCCATCAGTTTCGGAGCGTATTCGGAGCGCCTGTTCAGTAACTCCCTGTCTCTCTCGGATGTATTGTTTATATCGCCATATATTAACTGTTCTAGCATTTCGTCGGATGATGTTCTGTTACGACTACCGGAGACGTAGTTTTCAGAGACTAAAGGGTCAAGAGGTTATGCATGGAGAAGTGGTATGTTTGAGTTAGCCATATCTAAAGAAGTCTACGAACACACACTGGCACCCGTTGTGCCTCCGGCCACGTTTCTAGCACTCAAAGATGACGGGTAGTTTGCAAGCTTTCGTCTGTTTGCAAATCTTCTCCTGGACACTCCGTGTATAGGAGAGATGTAGGCAGAACCTTGGAAAACCCTATCTAAAAATAGACGTATTAAAAAAACATGCTCATATTTAAATAACATTTATGCCAGGCATTGATATCTTGCAAATGTTTAACCATCGAATATAAATTTATCAAGTTATTTTTGAAGGTCCCAACGTTATCTGCTAAAACAACGGATTTCGGCAATTTCTTCCATCCTTCAACCAGCCAGTGGGAGACGGATATGGCCGAAATTCAAGTGTGGCATATTTTATCCTCAGTTTATATTGGTGGCCTCGAAGATTGGTCGTAGACGCCAGTTCAACCCGCAGTACAAGGTAAAACGTTGCTAGCCTTCACGAAAACGCACAGGACAGCATATCGTACTGTTAGTTTGCTACAGTAACTGGAAAGGGACTGTCTGACACTGTGCCAACAAATAAGCGCTTTACACAGTGTGGTTTATTTATCGGACTGTCTAACAAACCGGGAGAAATTATATCCGACAATAAAAAGTTTCTTCTAAGAAGAACTCGATCGAAAATACGCATTAATTGCCTAGGAGTATCGAGGCAAGGACTAATCTTCACTTATTTATGAAATTGAACTTCGCGCCTTGACCTTTCAGACGCACAAGAAACACATGAGTGTGCATTAAGCGGAAATGAATGGATAGGCGTCAACGCATCCTTAGACGTCGTTTACGCTATCCGCTAAACTGATGGAAAGGAAAATGCCTATACTACCCAAAAATTCCCACTGATCTGCTTCTTACGAGTCCAAAGGAATATTGGATGCAGAGTCCGCGATAAATCTAGAGAAGGAAGGCGCACTTGAAGGCAGATGTGTTCTTGAGGCCCTTCAAGAAGTCTGCTTACAGGCGCAAGTGTCACTCTCTACGACAAGGAGGTTGCTTAAGAAGTTGCGGTCCTTCCATCCTGAAGTACCCCAGGGAATCCGCCGACACTTTTGCGAACCCCTCGAGCATGCGTTAGAAGGCACCTTCCGAAGGAGTGCTACGTCCACCTGAACCGTTCACGGGGTCTGTTGCATGCGCTGGTCCTTAGACCAACAATATGAATTCCCGAAATCTGAGTACAATTGCATACGGACGAGCTTAGTGCTTTTAGAGGGTCTGACGAATGACTGCGGACCATACTTTGTCGTATTAATCAGCCGGTTTTTGCCCATATATTCTCCTATTGGAGCAAGCCAGATCCTTTTGAACGACTTCACGGTTGTCTGTGTGTCAAAACTTAGGTATATCCCACTAGTGGTCTTTGCGGGTGTAATTAACAATACTTACTGCCTCCCCCACCTTCATGACGATATCGGTCGCTTTGGGGTATTGGACAATTTTCCCTCTTTTGTTTCGAGTCTTTTTTGTATAAAATGATCGCAAAACTTTGCGGTACAGGTGTCCGCGCGCATTCACGAATGACGCCTACTTGAGCCGCCACGGAGCTCAAAACTGTTGGCTTTGAGAGAGTTACACGGTCGTTCCAGTTGTTCAACGGATCAGTCACTATCTTGCATAATGAACAAGTTTTGTCCACTGAGTGGGTTAGTAATGTCGTATTTATTGACGACCGGCCTCATACAATGGCATCTGCTTCTGCTAATGGAGTACAGCACTGCTCACTTGCTGCCTGCTTTCGATTTCTTATCACATATTTTCCTTTGATTTCGTTGTTTATTTACAAAGCCCCTGGTTTGTAAAACGTCCCCTCTGCTGGAACTCTATCTGACATTATTTGTAAATATATTTACTTCAGAATTGACTATGACTATTTTCTCACCCACTTTTATACACACTCTCTGCACAGTGATTCTGTATCGTTTACCATCCCCCAACAGCGATACGTGATGCTTATCCGAGTGGGACTGTAAATTTTCAACCAAGATGCGTCTGGTTTTTACGTTTGTGAAGGACGATGCGGCGGCGGTTGTGGCCAATGCATGTTTCTACAATGGCAGCTGTGTTATGTTGCCAAAAGCGGACAAACAAGGGGTCGCTCTGAAGGAGCGAAACGAACGGCCGCCACGCGGCCCGCCGATTCAACTAGTGAGAGTTTTGATGGAAGACCTCACGTAAGACGAATTCCGCCGTTGCACAAGAGGCCAAATAGGCGTCTGACCAGTCCAGTTCAGAGCCCGCACAAAAGGGCAGGGGCTTCAGGACCAGGTACGTATGCTACACTATCATATTCTTCGTAGATTTACTCACAGAATAACGTCGGAATCGAAGGACGACGACGATGACGGCGACCACTATGCACTAACTCGCTCCAAACAATCCCAAAGGTCGCTAGGTAGTCAGCCAGCGCTACCGACGACGCTACGATAGAATCCCAAGAGTCTTTAATAAAAAAATGTTTATTTATTTATATAGTGAGAATACGGATGCCAAATGACTTGTAAGCCATGAAAAGATGAAAATGCTGTCGTTGCCTCCGTCGCATTGAATAGACTTTTGCAGTCTACAACAGGACTAACTTATAAGCAAGTGACGAAAGCGCAGGAGGTACCAAGACCGCTGTCCTTATTTGTTCAAAATGATTTCGCATTTATGTGATAATAATGTCCTTAATTTAGTTCAATTCAAGTCAATTTGTGAAAAATGGACCGCAAATTACATAAGCAGGTCACCCTCCTACATGAGCTTTGGCGGCAACAAGCGGCAACACCTAGTGAGGCTGAAAGCCATAGGCCATCCGACCTGCACTGGCCTATATGCACTTCAGAGACATACGATGTTTCCGTTCGATTGATGCATACCCATTAGAGTTGCCAGCAAAAGACGGTATGAAAATATCGAATTTGATTTACATTTTACGGCTTGTAGATAAAATAGTCCAGCATTGTGAGAGGATGGGACGAGAAGGAGTTTTTGGTTATCTTTTATTTACTATGCTTAGGTCGCCTCTGTGCTACAGTTCCTGCCCGGTCGGGTCCATGTCCAATCAGTCCATTGTAGGATGCTCACTGTACACAATTTTAATCCTAAGTGCAATTCAGTTGTAACACAAGCAGAGGCCATCCATCACAATCTTGTTTTCAGTCATTGTGTCAGTTATTTCGTTCGTAAAATGGCCATTGACTGCTTCCACGGATCGAAAGACCGATATGGTGGCCGGGCTAAATGTTTGGAAACCGCCCAGAAGGCAAAGTTCTTACGTCGCTTTATTTACAAAACATGCATTTATTTTCTCGGTGGGATTGCGGACGCCGCTGATTGCCCAATGATGATTGCATTCGAGGGCATAGCAAATTACATAAGCAAACATTATACCATATTTGATGTACGTACTGCCTTCAATAGGGGTGCTATTTGCGCACTAAAGTTAAGGATAAATTACTGTGCGTTGCGACTGCTTAAGTAGCATAAATTTTCTCCCTGGTTTAAAGTAAGGGTTATTGGTTTCTGTGAACAATTCAGTCCCGTGAGTCTTAGTGTACACTCCATGCAACAACTGTTAGTAAATGCGGGTAGTTGAGCAGTAAAATTTTTCAGTATAATCTGTAAAGGATCTAAATTATTAATTAATAAGTGTAACTTTTAGAATGAAGCAAAAATTCCAGGCTCTAAACCTCGAAGTGTCCTCCTTCAGAAGCCTAAATCGACTTAGATCAAATGCGTATTTAGCGGGTTAGGCTTTGTGTACAGGAACCCGCCATGAAAGATTGAAGTTCGTGGTAAACACAATGATCCCGTTGACCCATTGGTATTAGAGCATTCACTCTTACTATGCGTATTTATCGACTGTTTTTTCTTATTTAGATACAATAAAACAATTTTCGACTTATGTGTGCATATTGCATTAGGTGAAATAGTGGGGTCTCGCAGGACACATTGAAACTATTACAGTTAAAAGGCAGGGTCACCAGGAAAATGATGTTCGTGAGTTTCAAGTTGTTACATTTGAGTTTGATACATTAACGTCTTGCGGGGTTGCGCTGAGCATGCGGAAATTAAAATTGTTAAGGGGTACAAAACCGACGACGAAGAGGCATCCTCCTGCGAAAATTTTCCGCCGTCAATTGGCTAAATAAGGATGAGGAGTTGTATGCAGCATACGCAGCCCGCCCACATTCCCGTGTAGCCTGCTCACAGCCCACCTCTGCCCCAAAGACCAGAGTGGGCTCGGGGGCTGGTTTTAGAAGGGAAGTGATATTGTTATCGACGTGAAGTGTGACGTTATCCGTTCTGTAGGGCAGTCTGACCGCAAAAACAACTAAAATGCCTGTCTTTTTGATGTGCGTAAGACCGAATCCCTTTTTATTTCAAGGAAATATGCTTTTAAGTGCGGACTAAACACCTCAGAAGAAGCATTAAACACTAAGATCCATGGCGGTGAGCAGTAGTGCGGGCTAAAGCCTAGAGATTCTGTGAATCCTACCCTTAATTTCGGAGTACTGTATGCACTATCATCCTTCTCCTCGAAATTTATCTACACCTTGTTGCTGGTATGGGATTTATTGTTTTTTCTACTTTTTACCCCGAATGGTCGTTAGACAACTTTGCCACCGAACTTCTCTGCTCTGTCTGCTTAGAACGCTGATCCGTAAGTTTCGCATTCTGCTTTACAGAAGTTCTTTGAAACAGACAAGTGATTCTGTTTCACGCATTCCCAAGCAGATAGTCGACTTTTGCGGACACCTAAATGATCTGCGTCTTGAAGAACAAATATGTTCGTTTATCGGTTGTATAGTCGCTTTGCGGTGTGTGGTTGTTTATCATTCAGCCGGCCTCTGAAAATGATGCCCGCTCGAACTGCGTCAGCTATCCCATCAGGACAGTTTCGAAAACGTGAAACATATCTTAATAGTTTGAAATCTCGTCTCAGAGATAATCTGAAAACAATAACTGAGAATTTCGAACTTATATTGTCTCGTGCCAAGGTATACCTTGCTCATGCTCATCAAGAGCTGCGTCCTTTTTATACAGGAATATGACAATTATTAATTCCGCCTAAACCCTTTCTCTACTGTTCTTTACAAGGTCGAGAATTCGGATGTTATCGCACGCCTAAATCCATATACCCAAGCGGAACAAGACAACTTCGAAATGAACGTCCGGTCCTGTAATATTGTAAGCTTGTTCTTCCACCGCGTGTTTCAAGTTACAATTTTACTAATGCCCCCTCTACTTCTCTGCATAAATTCGTGATTTCATTAGGTCGTACAGCATTTACAGCTTTTTTTGCCACTGGACGCGTGCTAACAATGCCGACAGTGATGCGACCATCTGCGTTGTACAACCTGTTCCTACCATGCGATTTGCTGCGATTTTTCTCATTTGGTAGACTCTTGTCATGCCACTGACTTGTGGCTATGGATTCCCATGCGCTATCCCACATCGTGGCATTTACACGTTATTTTCGCCTTGACGACCTCTCAAGTAATGTCATACTCTAGGTGTGCTTCGACAGGTAATACTCACTTTCCGATTCGCTCAACTAGCAGAAAGATCTGTAAAAACTTAGGGTTGTGCGTTCGGAAAGCGATTGACCGAAGCCCCTCTTGCATTTCCCGGCCCTTACTCTTGATCTACTCGTGTCGACTAGCATCAGGACTAATTTTTCCGAGTGCCCAGTGGATCGCGAAGAAATGCGTCCTTGCTCACCGAAATCACTGGCGTAGTCTCAGTTGGTCGTCATCGGCCTCCTTATTCCTATTCTTGTCGGCCTTACGCCCGCCAACCTATGCAGAGGCGCAAGGGGCCGTCTTTTTAGGGGCTAAGGCTATCGATGAGGTCCATGGCCACTGCTTCGACAACATCATGTCCGACAAGAATGCATGAGGGTGACTCCATTTTATGTCGCCCGAATGAGTTCTTAAGCTGTCTGAGATGACGAGCTTTCACCTCGACAACAGCGTTTACCTCCATTCGTCAGTAACGTTCCACATTGTTAACGGATTTCTTAGACTGAACCTTGGAGACTTTCTGGGAACTTAGATCCTCAGTTCGACAACTGGCAGAGGACGCGTTTGGCATCCATAGTACCAACCGATTTTGTATGTAATCTTATTCAAGACTCTTTGTCTTCTGCGGAACGTCTCGGTGGAACCAAAGGTTTTTCTAGAGGCGACAAAACAAGTTTCGTTTAAGTTGTCTACGAAGGATTATTTCCTCCTTTTACTGGCCAGTCAGTAACACAAAGGAGCATGAGTATACAAAGTGTACTACCACGTTAGGTCTTGACTTACCGATGAGGGTGAAGCAAACGCTGCTTTGCTTCATTAGCATTATGTAGTAAGCCAAATTAGCGGGTGTCAACTGTGATATCAAGGAGAAATCGCGTTTCCTCGTAAGCTGTCGGGCATGACGATGTCGTCTAAATATTCTTGGTCCACTACCTAAACGTGACCGCCCTATTTTAATGCTCTCCTAGTTGTAAAGTGCTGTTTATGAAGCTGTATCTATCGCATGATTTAAACTGACTATATAAATGACACGACTTGGAAAGCTGCTATTCACTGCATAGTAATCAACCACGTCTGTTAGCTTGAACGGTGGCGCACGTAAATTCGTGCTGCGACTTCAGCCCTTTCGTTGGCTCTGGAGCGTAATATTGCGGTATTCTTGCAAACGACGCGTCTGCCGACCAAGTCGAACGTTGCATAGAAATCTGAGAAGCAAATAGTCGCCGGTCGAAAGCCCTACTTTTCTTTAGGGATTCGTCTTTGCGTGGATATCCGGCCTATATATGGCCTTTGTCCGAACGAGTAGCACTACCCTTTCCTTACTCCACCATTTAAAACTGCGAAAATTGTAGGCGACGCGAAGCACAATCTCAGTTCTAGTGTCTCTGCTATGACAACTGTTATAATAGAGGCTCACGCACCGATCGCTTTTTGGGACGCGGTCGTCTTGGGGTTCGATACAGAGCTTCGCAGGCGACACAACTGCTGCGGGCTGTCCGATCGCATACAAGTCTCCGCACATCAGACTTTTCAAGCAAAGCGGCTTTGGAAACATTATAAGACGTAAGGGCAGGTGCGCCCTCACAAACACGTCATCTGACCTATGCGCGTAGCCTTCTTCCGCGTCACATTGGTCGGCACTCGATCACGCATGCGCACAGCTTGCCTACTTCGGTCTCACAGTCCCTGGGATAGCAGGCTAGCGGATATTTTGCATCAGGGAATTAGAAACTGGCGTTATTCAATGTCCAATCGATTACTGATGCATGGCGCGTTCTTGAGTCGGTCGTGTTTTGTGTACTTTTCAACCCTTCGAGACGTGTCGCTTAGAAGAAAGCGCCCTGTAAAGGCGCTTGTTAGCCTCGCCCTCATCATCATCGTCATCAACGTGACACCATGTCTGTTAGAGTTATAAACGCCAATCGGTAAGTTGTGGTGGACTGTGTCCAGTCCTTACATGTCTACTCTTCTACCGAAGTTAGTCAGCCGGACTTCCCACGTACACTTGGCGTCGATACCACATATGGAGAGGGCGCGAGCCGTCAACAATGATTTTTTTCGGACTTTAGGTAGTACGCATCTGTTGGCAGACAGTTCTAACTTCATCTCTTCGTAGTTCGCAAATTCCCATGTCTTGTGGAGTCCCTGCCATGCCGCGGTGTTCGCGGGAAATGAAGCTTCCAGACCTGTACCAATGGTCTGGATGTCTCATATACAACCCAGTATGCCTTGATAGTCATTTGGCTTCTGTTTATCTCAACCAAGCATCCTACTGCCTGCCCTCTACTAGACTCGCCTAATTCCCTTATGGAAACTTGTTTGGAAGAACTACCTATGTCTCTCTGTCGCTTTGAATGATAAAACTCAGGGAACACAGCCTTTTTAATCAGATCTATCCGGCCCACATTCCACGTAGCAAAGGGCCGTCTATGTGAAATTTGCATTGTAACCGGATCCTTGCAATTGCTTACTCCTTCATCCTTTTAGGTGTGACTACAGTGCTGTCTAACAAAGTTTCGAATTTTGTAGGTCAGCGCCTGTGAAAATATAACTCGCCTGGTGTCTGAAATTAAACAGCTGCTGATTCTGGGTGACTTCTGTTGGTTGGAGAAGGTGACCAAGGCGGGTGCAGAGGAACGAGAGAGGAGACGGGCAGAACTGGATGCGGTCGCTGTAAAACTCGCAGACGAGCTCGCTGCTGACCTCTTCACCCTGGATGATAAGTTGGGCACTATGGTGAATCGCGCTGCACCTTCCCCAACCTCGACTCACAGTGCAACCAACGATTTGACGCCTAACGAACCTAAACCTGAACCCCTTTAAGCCCAAATGTGTACTTTATGCCCCTTTCCCCCACTGTACAGTCTAATTTCATGTGCTTTAACTTATTTTATGCACCGTTTTCAATAGGGTCATCAAGGGCATTGCCTATTACCCTAAAATACACTATTACACTTGTTGCAGAACGTGATTTGTAGGGTATAATCGAAAACCTATCTGCCAAGCAGATGCCGGCAAATTCCGCTATTGCCACGATCCCTCCGAGCGCAGACTTTACAGATCCACTGGTTAAGGAAATGGACGGAAACGGCCTCCGAGGGCTGCCAGCGACATGCTGAGTTAATTAAGGGGTTTCGTTGTCTGCAGGTAAATTTCCCGAAACTGGCAAGGAATTTGCTGCAGAGCAAGCCCCCCCCCCTGCTCGTCTGTCATCACTTGTTATCCAGAGTATCACCTGATGGAACCGCAAACCTTGAGTGTATGTTCCCCTCCAAGCAGTGTTAACTGTTGGTGAGATTACATCGGCTTATTTCAGCCATCTCTGTATTGTCACAGAGATTCAAGGGGACACGGTACGCCAAGGTGCCTAACCTGGGCCCGTCACTGGCAAGGCTTTTTACCGTCTTTGCAGCAGCGACGGTGAAGCCGTAGTAGATTTCGGGAAACATGCCGCACTTCGACTAGATCGGTGCTCTGCAACGCCTGTAAGCTACGCCTGCCCGACGCGATGGCATATTTTATCGCTCCCATTGCGCCTTTCATCACTTGCCTCTCGGCTAGCAGATGGGACGATCCTTTTGGGCGTCGCTGAGGGTGAGACCGCTTTACTGCTCCAGGTTCTGGTGTATGCCGCGCCTCTGGGGTCAATTGATTCATTTAGGAGTTGACCTCTATTACGTCTCACACTGTATTCTGTTTTGGCTCTCAAGTCTGGTGTTTCTCGAAAATCTGGGCCTAGATAGTGGCAAGGAAACGGAGCCTCTTGGAAGTATCAACTTGCTCTGGGGGCTTCGTTAAAAATTCATTCTAATCGCCTACCATGTTAGACAGACACCAGGTCCCATTGCCTGCCTAAATAGATCTAGTGAGACCTATGGCGTAAATCATCTCACTATACGTTTAATCGAGTTAGGAACGCAAATTATTCGACAAATCTCACTCCACCCATCCATCTAGAGTCCATTACATCGCATCCGACGCGCCCGAACCGGTCGTGGAGTTCTTAATAAATTGTCCGCTGCCGCAAAAATGCCATCACCGGCTGAAACCTGCCTCGTTTTCAGTTTGCGACCGTTGAAAGTCAACTGTCATGGTTTATCAATTCAGAGACAGCTGTCCCCGGTGTCACACTCGAAGACGTACTCGTAAATGGTAGCTACTCGGTGCTATCTTGCATTAGACTTTCAGGCAAACTTTGGACGGGAAGCGTGACAGGTTGCCCAACTAAAATCCCATCAAAGTCCTCCCTCACTCTCCATCTAATCGGAAGAATAGTCGGTGAAGTCTGAGTGTGTGTATATGAGGCCTACATGCAGGGGGAGACTGGTTTTCCGTTAAGCCTGTCTGCCGGCCACCCAGCGTGTCTACAGGTGGCGGATAGTGCAATGGCCTTCAAGTGAAGGCCATCTACGAAATAAGCAGACTCGGATCTGCCTACTAATCAGTTGCGTACCAGGAGCGACAGTGTTACGGCAGTGCGGAGGACTGAGGTCTAGCACGTTGAAAGCTTTATTAAAAGCCCTGTGATATAGCGACTGTGAACCATCGGCAAATGAGTTTGCTTGTCATCACTGCCTTGCGGTTAGGTTCCTCAGCTAAAGCTCTACTGGATACAGTCTCGGATAAACAAGCTGAGCGACTTTTGGGAACCCGCCTTCACGCACATCTCCCAAGAAACTTCATGTTATGATGTATGCCACCCTGCCAGCGGTCACCGATACGCACCGCAGCCCTATTTCAGTGGCGCTGGCGAATAGTATGTGGGCCGGACTGTCCAATCGCAAACGGACTCTTGATATAGGATCCTGGAATATGCGAGCGTTCCTGGACCCTGGTACCCAAAGTCTGACCGCGAGCAGGCCTTGTCGACACAACGTGTGTGCCTGCTGTCTGTCTGGAGTTCGACCTCCTGATCCAGACTCTCGATAAATAAATATCCTACTAGCCAGCCCCACCTCACCCTGCACCGCAGCCGCCAACGGGACTTCTGATAGGGACGGGGTGGCGATAATTCTCTTGAGACAAGCCAGCTGTACTTTATTTGTTTGGGAACCAGTCAACGACCGGATGGCCTGCATGAAACGGAAGGGTCTTTTGACGAACATCTCTATCACCTCTGTGCGCAGCAACTTTAGTCATCGAACAGCGCGCTAAAAGCATTTTACTCTTCTTATTTTTGCCGGAGACTGGCTGCATGGTTCTCCTTGTGACAGTGGTGACAGACTGCTGAGCTTTGCTGGTCAAAACTGACATTTTTTGACTAACACTTGCTTCTAGCACCTCACTAAACGTCTGCTGACCAGGTATTCGAAAGACCGCCATACGGCCAGTCACACTACATTTTAAGCAGCTGTTAATTTTGGGTGATTCCCGTTGGTTGGAGAAGGCGACTAAAACTGCTCAAGGCTCCGCAACTGAGTTTACGATAGTGGATCGATGTGTGATGCTGAGAGTGGCTATGCCTATGGGTCGGACAGCGTCTGCATTCATATCCGCTTGAAACTTCACGTGAGCGGAGAAATCCGGTCGTTTTTAAGATCCGATCCGAGCCAGTGGAACTCTTTGCCGGAGTTTGTTGTTAATTCCCCTACCGTAAACGTGTTCAAGAGACAACTGGATACTCACCTGCTGAAAGGCAACCCAAACTGCCGAAGCCTGATCTAACGGATTATTGAAATGACTATAAATATACTACTAATATGATTTCAATAGATCCTATTTTTGCATCACACTTAGCCCATATTGAAATGTTCACAGTCCGAATGCGGTGAACAAAGTTTTTCGCAATTATTTTGCGAATATAATACCCCTTTCACCTTTATGTTACATTATTAGATTTATGAATTCTCCCTACTAAAACTGCAAGCAAAAGTTTTGCAATTTAACTATTTTACTTTATACCTGTACCCTCTAAATGGAGTTTTCATGGCTTCTGTCGTTTACTCCAAATATACTGACTGACTGAAGAAGACCGCAACGAGTGGTCGTCACTGGCAACATCAGCCTATGAGACATCTGAGAAAACTCCCGGGTGTGCCTAGCGACGCCGCAGTGACTGGATTAGCGGAAGGACCCTGCAGTTGTCTGCGCGGACGGCTCGAGCTAGGTCCCTCTCTCCATCCTGTGCAGCGTCATGTGACCTCCCTTCTGAAGAAGAGGTCGCCAATGCCATGCACACGCTACGTAACAACAAGGCACCCAAAAAGAACGGTACACCCCCTGAGATCTACAAGTTCTGTGTCGGCTCTGGCGCCCGGGTTCAATGAAATGACTGAACAAGCGTTAAGAGATCAGGTTGGTCCTGATAACTGGGACTCGGGCGCCCTTGTGCCTGTTTTCAAGATGGGTAATGAGACAAGATGAGGGAACCACCGCGGCATAAACCTAATCAATGCTGCTGCGAAGATCTTCACGGTTGTCCTCAGTCGATTCCAGGATGTGCGTGGATCTTTGACGAGGCCCAACCAGGCCTGATTCCATGCTGGACATGAATGTGCGTACCAGGTACTGTCGTAGAGGCGCATATTTAAGTTCCGCCATGACTTTTTAAGAACCGATGGCCGTCTGCCTTCTTGACTTTGTTGCCGCGTTCGATTCTGTCCATCGTAAATCCATGCGGCGGATAATGGCACTAGAGGTCGTACTGCCAAAAATCATCACCATGATCAAGGCCTGTTACCATTCCATAGCTGCGCGAGTTCAGGTCCATAACAATCTCTACATCCTTTCGGTAATCAGTCTGACTTTCGACCTGGTTGTATCCTGTCGCTCATTCGGTTTGACTACGATATTGACTAGAAGCGAAGAGACGAGTCCCAGGAAGTAGTCTTGAAGAAGGAGACACGATCGCCGGGACAAGAGCTTTATTAGCCTGACGTTTCGGATTCCTACTCGAATCCATCATCAGGGACAAAAAACAGAAACGGGTGGTTGCTGCACAAGGGGCTGCGGTATTTATAGGATGCAGTAGCCATGCTACCGTATACCTATGAACATTCACGGTTCCCCCCTTCATCCGGGATCGTCGCACTTGGTGTGATCACTGCTTGATGGCCGACATTCGAGTCGCAGTTGTGTAAGGACTCTGTATCGGCGTATGGAAACGCACTGCAGTGAGCCGGAAGACAAAATTGCCGAACTACAATACCTCCGACGGGTCTTCAAAGCCAATGGCTACCCGCGCAACTTCGTCGACTGGTGCATACGCAAAAGGGACGAAAGGCCAAACCGCACGGACACCAAATCTTGGCAGGCACTTCCGTATGTCAAGAACGTTTCGGAAGCTGTCGGCCGCCTTCTCGCACCACTTTGAGTTGGAGTGGCGCACAAAAACCGGAAGAAACCATCAGGCGTCTGGTCATGAAGCCAAAAGACGCACTGCCACGGCTAGAAACGTCTGGAGTCGTTTATCGGATCTGGTGCAGTTGCGGACAAAGCAACTACGTCGGAGAAACCGGAAGACAGCTCCGAACGAGAATGGCCGAACATGCGGCAGCGGTGCGCAGAAATGACGCCAGCTCTCAAGTTGCGGCTCATTCGACGAGATCCGGCCACACATTCAAATTCAATGGGGCCGAAATTCTCGCAAGAGGTGACAACCGAGTGAGCCGGGAGCTATTGGAATCATGGTTTACTGGCCCCCAGTCCATCAACAAGTGCAACGATCTTACCACTCCATACTCCGTGCTAAAATTTCGCCCAGGCGGAGTAACAAGCCATGTGGGGAGAGCAGAGGTGAACACTTTTCCCAACACCGGGGTCGGTGCGTCAGATGGTCGAGCAATCATCACGCCAAAATCCAACGCACGTGATGAAATTTCAGCAATTATCGACTCGAATGTCGGCCATCAAGCAGTGATCACACCAAGTGCGACGATCCCGGATGAAGGGAGGAGCCGTGAATGTTCATAGGTATACGGTAGCATGGCTACTGCATCCTATAAATACCGCAGCCCCTTGTGCAGCAACCACCCGTTTCTGCTTTTTTGTCTCTGATGATGGATTCGAGTAGGAATCCGAAACGCCAGGCTAATAAAGCTCTTGTCCCGGCGATCGTGTCTCCTTCTTCAAGATATTGACTGGATTCTCGGGAGGACCCTACACGAAGGTTACGCTGTTGAATTTTCACCCGAATGCCAACTGACTGATCTCAACTATGCCAGCGATACCGTATTACCAGCTTCAAGTTTTGGTGATCTACGGTCTGTGGTGTCACGGTTGAAAGAGGTCGCTTAACCGGTCGGTTTGTCTGTAAAACCTATGAAGACCAAGGTATTTTCAGTGTGTATCCCTGACCAGAAAATACGCATCTCTCGAGATTAATGGCTGTCAACTTGAAGAACTAGACAGTTTTAAGTACCTCGGGCGCTACTGCTGCCGGATGAACAGAGCACGGAAAACATCCGTCGAATTGATGCTACCTGCCGGGTTTTCTCAAGCCTCAGAGTATGTTTGCAGGTCCGACGCAGCATCTCCATCGTCACTAAGATTCGTGTGTGCCGTGCATCTGTCCGGTCTGTCCTCTGTATTTGTGGGTACTCGGCTGTGCGCGTGGGGGACGAGCAAAACCTGGAGGTATGTGACCACTGCTTCGTGTGAAGTTTACCGACTTCGTCTCAAACGAGACAGTTCGCATTCTGCGATAACATCTCAAAGATAACCCGGTTCATCCAAGAATGATGACTGCGGTGGTATGGGCACGTTCCTCGTTGTCCACCTCAGACGTTTAGCGTTGCAGCCCTCGATCCGGCACTGCTACCCCATTTGAGGCGTCGAATAGGGGGTTAACCCATAGACTGCTTCGGCACAATTCGCCAAGACATGAAGGTAATTCTTGGGACCTCGGTGTTTTGTCTCCGTCGCTGGCGAGGAGAATGGGTTGAACTATTCTTGTCTGCTGCTGCGGATCATTAGGTCTGATGAAGTACAGTTCGGGATATCCTCGAGGCCGACTAGATCAGGCATGATCGCCGTCGTATTAAATACAAGTAAAAATTGCTAGTACGCATCTCTGGCTTCCCACCTATCCCCTCTGCTAACATTGCTTGGTTGAATTCGGCCTGGTAGGTGATTGCCTGATCGTGCCCACTATCACCCATACGACGTTTGTTTGCTGCGGGAAGCCAATGGATCGATGTGTCCCATCTCTGAGTAATTAAGTATATGTATATTTGTATCGTCGTCAGATATCCCAAGATATATAATTTGAAGGGAAACACATTCTTTGGAAAAAAATAAAGAAGTCCTTTTAGACAAATTTTCAACTTTGGTTCCGCCGGTCGTCATAAGGATTGAGTAAATGTGCAAAAACAAACAAAACTTCAATCGGGCTGAAAAATCAGTATTCATTTGACGTTTGTGTCAGCATGTGACTGTGTGGGCTACTCTGTATTGATAAACCCCCGACTCTTTCATTTTTCCCCAAAATGTTTGTACACGGCATCTAACTCAATGTGCCTGTTGTTGCATAACTTATCGCAGGGCATGGCCTCAAGAAACTCTCGGTCATTTTTGGGGAGACAATCTCCGACGACGCGAGTTTTGTCCCATGCGAGGTTTTGCCCGGTGTCAAGGGTGCGCATGGCCGTTTGAGACAGCAGGTATCGCCTCCTTAAGGCCAGTTGATGCTCGTACATGAGTGTAGAGACAGATTTTCCAGTTTGGTCACAATATACTGCATCACAGGCATCGCATGGGATTTTATAGGCGATTTCCTTCTTATCGAGATAACCAACCCCATTACTAAGGTGTAAAAGTTGAATGAGTAAAGTATTTGTCGGCTATTGCGCCACTTTTATTTGGCGCCTGTGATGCCGTATTTCGTTGTCTTTTCGTGACTTTTGCCTCGCAAACGAAACGTGATGGCTTCATGAAGCTTACATTGTCATCAGAAACTCGACCCAGTGTTTCAGACAGGCAATATCGAAAATTTACTATCAGGATACAGGTCTTTGGTCTTTAGATTACTCAAAGCCGGACCTAGAGATCGACAGTCCGTGTTCATTCGAGGGTACAGCCTGTTGGACGAGTTACATGTTTTGCAGTGTGCTACGCATTAAATGGCCTCTCCCACTGTGACATTCAATAGGAAAACTCAAGACGTTTTCTTTGCAGAAGAAAGGATTAACATTGAGAAGAAACATATTGAGAGGGGAAATAAACCACGACGCGGCTACCTGAAACCATTAGAATTTAGTAAGGGCAGCTTTCGCTGGACGAAGGTGGGTTCTTGCCGAAGTCTCTTTTGTCATGAACAGAATCTCTTGGAATGGAAGATGGAAGCAGCAGCAACAAATACGAAAAGGTGGCAAATCGACAAAAGCACAGCCTTGATGGGTTTGGTGAGAGCAGGAGGTGATATTGCTTGGAGCACAAACCAAAAAACGAAACGAACGGTGCTATTTACAACCGGCAGAAAAGAGCCTAAACCAAAAAGAAAACAATGTCATCAGAACCATCCGGCGGAAAATGCGACCTCCACCCATGATGATTGGCAGGGAGGAAGAATATGCGTGAAGTTTCTATTTTGTGAAGAAATCATACCGGTGCACCCGGCGGTCCTTGATCGCCGCCGGCGGAGACCGGTTTGCGACCTATCACACTGGAATTGCGTTTGCCACCCCGACTGGAACTGTCACGAGGACCCTTTAGTTCCATCCACTGTTCCTCAGCGGCGGCCTGGAAGGTCTTGCCATTGGAGAGGCGAAAAGCCTCTCCCTTCTCTCTTTCATATTGTTCAATCGCAGCGTTTGCTTCCGCCTCAGCCTTTTGGATCTCCTTCAGCAGACGCTTTTTCTCCTTCTCCGTCTTCAGTAAAATTCCACCGCGATTGGAAAGAATGGCTGGATCTCTCATCCGCTGTTCCACCTCCAGAAGGGCTCTCCAAAGACTCTGGAAGTTGGCGATACCATCATAGACCTGGCGATGTCTTTGGTAAATGGTCTTTAGCTCTTCAATACGCTTCTCCAGGTAGTCCACTAACGCCTCATCATTGCCAGAAAATTCTTCAATTATGGCCAATTCCTGAGCTTCGACGAAACACGATCGAGCCAGTTCGGTGGCCTCATCCTTCAGTCGTGGTAGGTAGGTACGAATTGTCTTTAGGCGTTCCTTTCGACAGGCATCGGCTTCAGCCTGAAGGGGTCATTAGAGGCATATTCTGAAGCACAAGGTTGCTGTAATTTATATATAAGTCGGCACGTTTACAGATGTTAGATAGCGATTTTAACGGTCGTCATGAAAGTTTAACCCAATTTCCGATCCCCTATCCGATCTGAGAGGACTGCACAAATTCAGGTTATCTACGCCACCGCATGGCATCGAAAAAACCTCGGAAGTTTGAAACTAACGCGTCTTTTACCATTTACCGTTAGGGACATGGTTTAATTAAACTTGTGTGCGCATATTTTGAAAAGGTATTTAAGAGGGTGTGAGAGGCACCATAGAAATTTCCTCTTTTTTCCAGTTTCGTTTAGAAGCCTTTTTAACAGCCTCCTGAAAACCGCATACCCGGATGCCTGATTCGTCAGATGCCTCGGCGAAAAGCGCAGAAACACGTGTGACAGACGCTGCCTGCCAAGTTTAATAAACTCCCTTCAGGCAGTTTTCGTTTGCTATATACTGCGGCAACAAAATATCAACCGTTCCCTGGACGATAAATTCATGTTCATATATGGCTTTCTGGTACACTATTGGTAAACATTACTCAGGACTTACGCTTTGGCAAAAATGCTAACACGATGGGTGATTTGAGGAAAATCCGTCAACGCGAACTTATCGCGTGCTGGTGATGAATGCTCGGACACGGGCGAGACTTCAATTTTTCCCAGTTAGCCAGAGAAAAAAATTGCACAGATGAAGGCGAAATTTTGAGTTCCAGGTGTATGCATAAGTTAAGAAGAGCCGAGCACCGGAACACTTTGGTTATTTTCCTGAGATTTCAGACTCGTCCTGTCCTTAGATTTCAGACTCGTCACCGTCACTGCTCCCACCGCTGCTGCAGTTGTGGGGCACACGGTAGACGTCATCAAAATCTATGGTCGAACTGTCATAAGGCATGCAGGCCAATCATCGACCGACGGTGCAAGACTGAAAGTGACTACGCAAAGCTCTGTACGCCGGCGCCAAATCGATTGACCGAGTTTTAATCCAAGGTCCAGGCTTCAAATTAATTCTTGACCTGTTTTGCTTCCGGCGTGGGCGACTATTTTGGTGGTGCGAAGTTAAACTCATGACTCATTTGTAGGCGTGGACGGCCACCTGTGATAATGCGTCGCCTCGTCGCACAGCCAGCTTATGTTCGTGTATGCGCGATTCGAGCAAGCGTCCAGTCTGCCCTGTGTAGTAACGTGGGCAATTTTGACACGGAATGCGATACGCTACTCCAGATTGCTCTTCAGTCTTTAACCGGTCTTTGATTTTCATGACGCTATTGCGCATGGTGGCTTTGGGGCGGAGTCCACTTCCAACTGCTAGCTCCACAGCAATGCTGTCAGTCGCTTCTGAAACGTCCCTAATGTATGGCAGAGAATGCCCCATAACTGTCGCTTATTCTGTTGCTGCTACTACCTCTGACGACGGGTTCCTGTACGAGTCTGAAAGCTCAGGACAATAAGCAAAGTGTTCCAGTGCTCGAGTCTTCTTCTTCACTTATAGAAGAATGGTATTCTATCCCCTACGTGAGTGAACCGGCCTTTCAACCATCTTTACCCTCTGCTGCACAACGTGATGGGTGCGTACCGTCTTCCGCACCTTCTACACTCCCATCCACCAGAGCCCGATGTCAGGAGAAAACCAAGAAGGCTTGATACGGGATCAGACCATGGTAAACCGCAAGTCTGCGTATGCCACACACGCTTGTCAGCACAAATGTGCCAAAGTTACACGGGAACTCGGATTCCGGATGAATGGGAGAGCCATTGAGGTCGCACAAACGCGTAACCCTTGCAGCCTGACTCCACGTACTGAGAGGAAGACCAAGTTATTCCATCGGTTGCAGGCCTTTTAAACTACAATACTCAACCTACTGTAATAGTTGATAAAGAAGAATATACTCTGAGTTTTGTAGGGACGTAGTCTCCAAGGTCGATTTCACGGTGGCTCTCCTGTCCCAGGCACCAGTCCACTGTCCGGGACAGTCAGTCACCTGATGCGGAGATCGGACGTAGATGGCTGGCGCGGCACGGGCATCCGCCTAGGCGTGCCATAACACTCCATGTCGGTCATTTGTTACGGATGCGCAGTCCAATTAACGTGTGTCGGATCTGGTCTGACCTCAATGTTGTTGCAGCGCAATTCTTGCGTAGCTCGTTGTAGAGCGCAATCTGATACCCACCATCAATTTCAAACAGCGTGAATAGACCACTGTAACCCCACTCTCAGTTCGGAAGCGAACCGTAACAGCCAGCCAGTTGGACGCCTTCCACGTCAAACCATTTAACTTCTCTTTGCAGCTTAGGATGGGGAAAAGGACCGTTTCATATGTAGATGAACAGTGCATGCAGAATCAGCCTAAACATACTTTTGGCGGAGACAGGTCGGTGCTGAGCGAACGATTTACGAGATTTCTCGTAGGGTTGGTCTGGAGTAGGTCACCCGTCTGACGTCTGTCACGGGCATATGTGCACTTGGCGAGATCTAATGCGAAAATGATTCCTCCTTCGGAGGTTCGCCGAACTGGCCGAATTTTACGCTCTTTTGAGTATCTATAAAAAGCATTGCTACTGATTTATAGATAGTAGAAACGTACGTCACCCCAAATTTAATCTTATCAGCCGACCGATCACGAACCTTGGACTGTGACCTGAGCAGCTCGCGTCGCCTGCAGTTCTCGTCTACTGTGTGAATTTTTGACCCTCAAGGCTTACGGGCGCAATCAGGTGTTCGGCGGTGAGCTATGGCCTCCAACTTGGCGTTAGTACTATGCGCTGTCGCTCGTCTGTAAAAAATCGATGCTAGGCAATGGAGTCAAGCGGTCAGAGGACACCTCGGTCATGACGAGGATCATCCGCCTGTCTAACACAGTCCATTACGGATTCACGATGCTGGATAAAGGAGTCTGTTTTTCCGAGTTTAAGTGTTAAATCTACCATCAACAGTTGAGCGGTTTGCTTCAACATCCATTTCGTGGATTGTTAGACGCAACCAACTGCGAATATCTCTGATGATGGATTCGAGTGAGAATCCGAAACGTCAGGCAAATTAACTTCTTTTTCCAGTGATCGCATCTTCATCTTCTGACGCAACCAACTGTCACGTGGACGGTCAGCTGTTTGCGTCGTAGTTATCCAGTCCATAATCGACTCAGTATATTAGTTAGAAGTCCTGGTGGTTATGGGCGCCGATCGGCCGCTTTGTCCGATGGTGCACACAAAAAGGACTATGTGGCTGTTGATCAATCAAAACCCCTTTATTAAATTTTTCTTCTGTGCGTATTTTGGGCTTTGCTGATGGACAAGAATGCTAATCCTGTAGTGACAAAAAGTCAGCAGGAGGCTTCAGAGACTCCGATCAAATGTTGATTCGTCAACTGCCTTTGAAATAACCAAAAATAACGTCAACTGAAAAATACCTATAGCTGGATGCTATCAGTCTACATGAGTGCCTTCCAGTTTGGCTTAGAGTGTAATGACATCAACCAGTTGGTATTGTTTCGCTTCAGGATTGGTGGGATTTTAAGGTCATCCGGGGGCGCTCAATGTTGTAAGCAGACAAGACGTCTCCCAGTAGAGGCTTTCTATAGCCTCTGCTGAAAGTGACCGGTCTCATGAAATGTTGGCTGGAATTCTGAGCTGCGTTCTCGATTAGAGTGGGTTACTTAAACGCGGTTGTAATACCGATTATCTTGCGGTATAATCCTATAATATTCCGGACTTGACAGGATGTCAGCTTTTCAGTACACTGCATTTCAGTCTTCTGTAGAAACCGTTCGCGGTAAAAAAAAGATTACTTTAGAAGCATGCATTTTTACTATAGATTTCGATGGTCTTGCGTATTCAACTATATTTTGGAGAGACTACAAACAAATTATGCTTTCTTTTATTAGTATGATAGTTAATCACGTCATATTTATATGTTATGCGCGAGAAAGGAGTATAATTAGGTTTTAAAAAAATTTTCTAATCGCCGAATAACTTTGAGCCTGATCAGTGTTTGCATTAGCGTTTAATGGTTTTAGTCTACAAGGCGCATGCATTGCGCGTAAAGAAAATCACATATTTTTCTAAGCCTTTAAAAAGATATCATATAGAGTTCATAAAATTTTGCAACCGATGCAGATTATGTTGTACATTTCATGAAAAACAGCGATAATTGGACAGGTTAGAGGCTATGTGAATGGACATTGCGCGGTCTTAAAAAAATTTCATAATTATAAGTTTACGAAAAAACCTAACTATACGCCTTCCTCTGGTATAAAATATAAAGATGACGTGATAGTCTGTCAAAAGACTAAAAGAAATCCCAATTTGTTCGTGGTCTATTCAAAATCTATTTGATTATGCAAGACCATCGAAATCGATAGTAAAAATGCATGCTACTTAAGTAGTCTTTTTTACAGAGAACGTTTCTACAGGAGATTGAAATGCAGTGTACTCAAAAGCTGACAACCGTGCCTAGTTAATCCTTTCTAATCGAAAACGCATTTCAGAATTTCAGCCAACATTACATGAAATCAGTTACTCACTGTCCTTAAGCCCCCTCTCTCTGTTATTCTAACGTCCTTTTGATGTTATTTAACAGGAGCGCATAGTGCCTCACGCCATCCGCCTCTGTCACCCACACCGCATGTCTCCCGAGCGGCCTGAATATGTATGCATGCAGCCTCTAGCGCAGCAAATCACAGGTGCCCACAAACTTCGTAACCACCCAATCAACTCCCGCATAAGGTTTATTCATTCACGCTGGCATTATCATGACGAACAGACCAATAACAGACCCAGGACCAGCCACGCGTCGGGAGTTCTAATTACAACAGAGCTTCTGTACAGGACACACGACTTTGATGAGTACTTTTCCCTTCCTCAAAAGTGACTAGGCCATGATTATCGTGTTGCTTTGAGTGCATCCACGGACTTCTCACATTCCTGACGCTTTAAATTTAGGAATTTTACGCTTGCATCCTTCTAGTCGCAGACCTCACCTCGAGAGTGCTCAGCACCGTGGGCTTGTAGCCGGAACACTTTGAGATGAAGTCCTCCTGATCCTTCTCTGATCTTCCCAGACGAGTCCACATGCTTCGTAGGTAACCTCGCAGTTCGTCGCAGCTGCCAACAAGACGAGCCTTTTCTTTCACCATGCGGAGACGCCAGTTTGCCAACTCCTGTAGGTGGGGGTGGGGCAGAGGGGTGGAGTTGAAAGAGGTAAGATCTGGAAAATTAATGGGATGATCAAGTGAAAACCTCAAAGGTCACTCAGCTATCAGCCGATGGCGGAGATCATTAACCTTTCTTTGCGTGAAAGGCCGATGCTGCCAACAAAGGATTACTTCGCATGGATGAAGAAGCTACCCTCAGCAAGATGTTGGAATAGGGACTGAATAACTATAGCCCACTATTAAAGTCCTAACAGTGGACACAGTCCTTCCTCGTCCATTTCTCAGAAACCGCAGGCAGAAGTCATTTCTGAAAAGTAATGACGGAGTACAGAACATATTCATTCTCAATATTTTGAATGATCATGTTAAGGAATGTTATCTTGTAATAAGAACGGCTAACTTATGACGGATTTCGTGTGCGACCGGACTGTTCTTCCCATTGTTAGCACATCACGCCATTCAGGTGAGGATTTAGTTTGCTACGTCTCTTTGTGAAGGTTTGGTCTCAGAAAACCTGTAGCCTGCGTTAGGTGGATTAACCTATCTGTAAATTAATGCACACACTGACGAATGCGGATTAGTAGTCGGAGCTACTTGACCTCAACAACTTTCATCAAGAATTCATAGGTGTCGCATGGGTCACAGGTGCAAAAGAAATGATTTCGGTCCTCCAAGTGTGAGTGAAGCGCACCTTAGGCATGTCTCTGTTTTTTTAAATATGCTCCTATGAAGTTTCCTGGCAGCGCAAAAAAGCCAGCAAATGAAACCTCACCTGTTGTCCAGGGTGGGTTAAGAATAAGGAGAAGAAGAAGATGCGATCACTGTCACAAGAACTATATTGGCCCGACTTTTCGAATTTCCATTTGAACACGCAAGAAGAGACAAGCGGCAGATAAGGAACGACGAAAGCAGAAGGAGCGCAGTATTTGCAGGGAACAGCTGTCATAAAACTACAGGCTTACTATAATTAACAGCATCCGCATCCGTCGCCGGGAGTCACATATGATGCAATGAGTAACTCTGATTTCACAGATCACAATCGTGGTGAACTCACGGCGAATAACAACTGCGGTGCGGGTGAATAAGCAACTGTGGCATGAAATACGACCCCACCCCCAGAGATGAATGCCGATGCGGGTAATTGGAATAAGTCTGTGGTTGCATGGCAATTGCAGGCTGTAAACAATGCTTTCCTTGCACCCCCACCACTCAATACCTGTGGCTGTCTATGATGATGTGTTCGAGTGAGAGACCGAAACTTCAGGCCGATAAACTTCTTTTCCCAGATATCGAATCTTTTTGTTCTGAACCGTTTCTCGGAACTCGTCTATTCGTTTCCATCGATAAGCCAGCTTCTGATGAAGCCACTCACGAAGAGAAAAACATGAATACTGACCGAGATGGGGCCGAACTTAACACTCTAGGCAAAGTGCAAGTAAACAAAATCGTGCTAGAATTTTCGGCAGGTTAACTGTTTAGCCACCAGGGCCAACGCGCATGTTGGAAGTAAATGGCAAATAATTAAGCTGGCGTGGTCTGTAGCCCATTGGCTGCAGCCTCTCAGGGCTCTGGATGTCGTGTTTCAGTTCACTTTTCAGCTTGCTTCTCAAGCATTTGCATCCAGAATTTGCAAATTCAAAACGTAAACGTAAAGATAAATGTTTATATGAGCAAGTTTTGATACCCAGGGACTCAGGATTGGGGTTGGATTTGCTTGGACCGTCCTCCCAAGCAGTTAGATCAGCATTCATCATTTATGGTGTAAAGGTAACGGTATGGTGAATGACCCCACTTAACTGTCGGTAGAATGTGGACCGTGTCATTAGGAATTATATATGGCGTGCACTTGCAAATCGTTACAGACACGATACTGCCGACAATAGTTACTTCACATGACCTCAAGCCATTATTTAAACTCCGTTATTTTTTCGAAAATTTGCTTTTTATTCATATGCTGTTTAACGCGTTCATTTTCGCTTCCATTCGAAAGCGTGCGATAAGACATTCGGCAGAATCCAGCCAATTTCTCTGTTCTAATGCATTCCATCAGCTTATTGTCTGGGTTCTGGCCCATCCGTAAAACCCACATTACCCCCATTCCCATATGACCGGATGCACTGTCTACCGACAGTTAAGTTTGGTCCTTCACTCTACCGTTGCCCCAACCCCTTTACTAAGCATCTGTATTAGAGAAAGCCCTGTATCACCCGTCTGAATGCAGCTGCAGGATTGAGACTTCTAGATGAAAACCCTCCCCTCCCCCCCTTCACCCACAAAATTTGGGACTCTGTTGAAGAGTACAAAGAGATCAGTCTTCATTGTTACAACCACCAGGACCACAAATATCGATCTCAAGTTTGGCCATGAGCCATTAGGAACGAAAGCGACCGCTAGCATTACATCTGTACCGCGGGTGGTAGCAAAGGCCTTAATTTCCAAAGCCAGATCACTACTCTACAACGTCATGTTCTACGTCTGTTAACGACGTTTTTAGAAGCATACGAGAGTTTCAGACGCCAGTCTGACTTGATTTCAAAACCGCGCAGGGACATTGAATTCTGCCTTGGATTTTCATGCCAGATAGTATTATTGATCTTTTTCACATGACAACTATTCACACTCGTAGTCTTGAGCTTTTAAGCTAGCGCTGCGCACGTAGTCTGTTCTACGACCTGGTCTGACGGACAAACAACTCATCTGGATTCAATAAATCTGCCTCAGTTGGACTGAAAGAACTGTCTCGCAATTAGAATTTCTCGGTCGGCCAATGACCATCCACGATCCATAACAAAGCAACTCGGGTTAGATCGCAGTTGGTAGCCAGGAATGGGGAGCGGATGGCGACCTAACCCTAATCCTAGCCTTAACCCTAACCCTAACCTCAACATTAAACGTTAACCGTTAACCCTAACGGCAACCCTGACCCTAACCGAAGTCGTAAACGCAACTGTAGCCCTTAGGCATAGGCGTAACTGGAAAACCTAACCGCAATACTAAAACCCAATCGTACGCTCAAATCCTAACCGTAACTCGAAAACCTAAACCTTAGTTCATAACGATAACCCGAAAATCGGAAACTATTAACCGGAACCCTAATCCTAACCTCAACCGCAAAATGGGAGCCAAATAGATCACATGTGATAATGGAGCCCCACAAAATAGCCCCAGTAAACAAACCCCCCTAGCCACCTGTAATGCGGGGCCTGGATACCAACTTTGATATAGCCGCCTAACTCAGTACATGTCCTCACGGCAACTCACTAACATCTACATCCTGAGCTGATATCTATAAAGCTTTACTGGTAAGTCACGAGATGCAAATATCATTTGACTGTTGCGGGCTAAAACTTTCCCAAAATCGAACTGTTACATATTCTGGCGTACAGCGTCCCCAACAGTGCAGAGCTGGGACCTCTACAACAGTGAACGACATGGTACGTGCACCTAGCCACGCCCATCCTAGAGTATTTTAACAGGCATATTTTGAACGCTTAAAAACCCGGGAATAGCCTTCTCAGCAAAACATTGCCCTGCAGCCGTTGGCAGTTGGATGTGGATGGCTACCAATCAAAACGCAGCCTGCGATCGTATATGATGCTTCTGATTCGCTCCCACGTGGGAAAGCAGGCCAATCAAAATACAGTTCACGCAGCTGCTGCAGGGATGGTAGTTACCGTGCCAAAATGCCTATGCTATTTTTGGCCCAAGCATAGGGGATGGGAAATCTGAGCGTCTTGGTTTCAGTCAACCTTTATCTTATTGCATAGGTATCCTATGAAGCCTCCAGCCTGAGAAGTTATGCAGACGATATGTGAGCGCCTAACAATTGAACAAACATGTCGCCTGCATCAGCGTAAATGTTCTCCGCTAGGCAAAGTAGCAAACTTCTGGAATGCCCAAGGACTTTCGCGTGGTCGTGTTAAATAAATAAAGTTGACTCTACATCATTTAAAATTCCAGTTCCCGGCTTGATGATCTCCGAATATTAAAAAAGCATGGAATGGTAGGAGGAGAGAGTAATCTGCGCTAACCCTGATAGCAGTTAACTTTGGTCCTAACAAAGCATAATTTAGAATTTCCACGTGGCTGACTGTTTTATCAGGGTGACGTGCATTTAGTGAAGACAACTATTCGAAAGTCCTTACGGAGTTTGGACCTAGAAGGTAGGGCCGGATGTGGTTATGTAGCCCCACCTCAAGTAAACAAACCCCAGTCACATCTAATACGGGACCGGTAGTAACAGGGGTTTGTACAGGTTGGGCTGGGGAACGCACAGGTGACGAGATCAAGAAGTTGCATGCGAAAAAAAGGCATTGGGAAGGCGCGGTTGTACATTGAATGGTTGAGAAATAATTGTTTTAGCCCCTAATCCTAACCCGTAGCTATATCCCCTAATCCTAAACACTAAGCCCGAACAGAAAACCCCTAACCCTAATACCCAACCCTCAACACTAACCATAACTCCTAATCATAACCCTTACCCCAACCTCAACAGTATTATGTCCATCAGGTGGAGCCACCAAACCACATCTTACCGAAGTTGTTATGGCTAATACCAAGGATACGAGTCATATGGTTGCATTCGGAACTTTCCAGGGTCACATTTTTGACCCATAAGGCAGATGTTATAAAAGTGCAAAAAAGATAAGTACTTTAGTCGACACAAAAAAATGATCCATTTTCTTTATGGAATTGAAAAGAAAGACGACGTGCAATCACGTTTCATAATCAGCGCGGACTTCGGCTGAGTTGATTTTTTTTAAAAGGGAACTATGATTTGGGAGTCAGTTAGGAATAAAAACTGAACGCTGGAATGGCAATGTCCAAGTTTCGAATTGCATTGGTGCTGGTGTTCCCGTGACTTATGGCTTCATTTATTAGTAATCAAATGGGCGCCCGCACCGTGTAGCAACGAGATCCCCGAAGACGGTCAACAGATTGCTGGTCATGTCCTTCGAAAAAATTCCTCTCATCTCTGTAATCTATCTTCCAAATGTTTTACCCATATCCTACGTTTGCTGCTCAGCTAAGGGCGAAGTCTATCCGCTTGCACCTATTCATAGAACTGTGTAACCTGTCACCGGTTGGAAAGCCCTCGCAATAAATGACACCGTCATCTAGTCACACATTTTAGTGTCTAACCGACAGTTCGACCCTCGTGCCCGATGATGTCCACCATGTGCTTCATAGCAAGGTGAAGCAGGTACGGTGACTTGCTTGCGAATTAGTTTAAAGTGAGAGGGGACTTGCGCAGCATCTACTGCACTCTATCCTCCACTCTCAGCCTCACCTCCACATAGGCCGATGTCAAGACATAGTCAAGAAGACCGAAGGCGAGGGAAGTCGCAGGTGGCTGACACAGTCGGACCCGTACCTCGGCGTACCACCACACCCCCTCATTTACAGCAAACACTTGACCAGAATTTTAACCAACATCAACACCACCACAACGAATCAGAAAGACGACGAGGATGATGGGGCAGCCATGTGCACGACCTGTATACCCTACGAGACCGCATCGCATCTATCAACAGGAAACCAGGTGCCATAGATTTTTCAGCGCACACCAGACTCCAAGAGCCGTGGGTTGCTGATCCTGTTTACAATCCTTGAGGCCCAGTGTCTAACCGATTAACCAAAATCGACAGCTCTTATTTTCGACGTTTGGGCAGCGATACCTCCCCACACTCACGACTCGACTTTTGCTTGATCAACTGTCCCGATTTCCCAGTTTTACTGCACCCTCCTCCGCTGCTGCCAGAAATCCAAGGATGGAGAGCGAGATTTAAATTGCTTGTTCAGCCTCTTCTAGCTTACACTGTCTTATACTTCTTTTAATCAAAAATCGACTTTTGGTTTTTTGCCCTGCTGCGCCAGAGTAGAATGAACTGCTTCTACTTACAAGGGCAAGTTACGCCGCTGTCAGAATCATAAAATTGCTGACGCAAACTGAGGGATTAAAAACCCTTCAGAATTTAAATGGCTAGTTTGACTGCGGTTTAAACAAACCGCCTGATTAGGTGGTTTTTCCTATTGATGCTCCTTCGGTTGGCCTTCTTCATCCTCACTTTAAACTGCGCACATTTCAGCCGTAATCGGCATGCCTTCAAAAAATGCTGGCTGCTTTAGCTTGGCCAGCCTAATGTGCCGTAAGATGTACGTGCGATGGGAAGTGACCGACAAATTGTTCTGGATTTGTGTGTGTGTTTTTTGAAACAGTGTCTTAGCAGTTCTGGCTTGGATTGGACTTTCAACTCATATAAAATGACTATAAAGTGCTTTGAACGCAATAAGTAGGTCCAGCCGTCGCAAACGACGGCGTCCATCGCGCGTCCAACGGAACTGGGACAGCACCGACAACTTACGCGTGAATTACTTCACAGGCAGGTAGATTTGCACAGGATCTATCACACTTCCCCTGCACTTATCCGTCTTATATCGGTAACAGTACAATGTTAAAAAGACCAGACCTGGCTGAAGGGGACTATTCAGTCCGCCCATGCGTACAACACGCGTTCGTCACGGCGTTTGCCAGGTTACTATGCGGACAGGTCAGATCTCACACACGCAAGAATGACATCAAGGTTTCATCAAGCTGGAACCTTTGCAGCTCGACATCGTCTCCCCAAGTCGCTCCACAAAACTACTATGATGCTCGAATCTCATCTGATTGAGAGCGTCGCATCCAGGAGGCGTCACTGGACCTGACTTTGCAGTATGGCAGATTTCCAAGCGACGTTTCTCATCGCGTCATGGTGATTGATGCATATCAGTTTCCTGATGGTTAGTTCGTTGATCTGCCATAAGGATAAAGTCCCCAGTGTTGGCCTCACTCGCTTTCTCCTCTTCCGGGCGCTAGTCGACTGTCCCAGTCTCTTTACCAACTGGTGATGAGAGTGGCCCGATGGCTCATAGAGGTAAGCGGTACATCTACGCGTGCCTCACACGTAACCAATACGATAGTTCGACACCGATCTCGACGATATCCACGGTGTGTCCCACAGCATAGTGGGCTTAGGAACGGCGAGGTGTGCTTGAATTAGTCTACGATGATAGTACACTTGCACTGTTTCTAATGCACTCTCTCTTCCCTCGCTGTTATAGGCTTTGTGTCAAGATAGAATCGAGAAGACCGGAGGCGGGATCGGGTGCAGGTGGCCATTGAGGCGTAATCCTGCGCCTAGACGTACCACCACACCCGCCATCCCAAAAAGCGCCTGCCGTGCCCTGATCTGGACCCGCGTTGATCCAGCGCAACTCCCGTGTGGCCAGTTACAGTAGGTGGGCTAACTCATGAAATGACAATAAAACTTCCAAAATACGTTTTCGTTTCGAAACGACTAATTAAGAATGATCGTAATACTAATTACAGTGCGACATGATTCTATAATGATTCAGTTACCTAAGGCTGTCGGCTTTCGAAAAAAACGTTTCTCCGGCTGCATGCAAAAACCATACTCTGCTAAAGATGACTACTTAAACAACATGAACTTTTCCCATCGATTTTCGATGTCCCAAAAAATTCAATTGTATTTCATAGAAAGCATGCATAAAAATATTCATTCTCTTACTCATTTGGCAGAAAATTACGTTTTCTTCCAATTTTATACTTAAAGAAATGCTATAATTCGGTATTCAAAATGTTCCCAATCATGACATCTTCTAAGACCGTGAAATGCCTGTTCATATTGTCGCTGCATTAAGTTATGTGGCATCTAAAGTTTACAATACGGCTCAACTTCACCGCTGAATTGTATAAACCTCATATGGTCTCCTATCTATACCGAAGAGAAAGTTATGGTTTTCGTACTCTGAAAATATACGGTTTTAGTTTGGAAACCCTGAATACACGTGTAGGGGCGGGTCGTGTTCAAAGTTATTCGCGAATTGGGAAAGTTTTAAAAGCCGAATTTATCCTTTCTTTTAGTATAAAGTCGAAAGAGGTTGCAGTGTTCGACCGAACGTGTAAAAGAGTGAATATTTCCATGCATGTTTTCAATGAAATACAATTGAGTTTTTTAGGGCATAGAAAATCGACGAGAAAAATGCATGCTACTTAAGTAATCGTTTTGTGCAGAGTATAGCCTTTGCATGCGGCCGAAAATAAGTTCGTCCAAAAGTCAGTATTCCATGGCAAGTGAATTATTATATAATTATACTGCACGATTATTAGTTTCACGACCCTATTTAATTTATCTTTTCGAAACGAAAGCGCATTTCAGAATTTCGGTTGACATTTCTTGAGTTATCCCACCTGCCGTAATTACTGCAAACCTACGAACAATGTGTGTGTTAGATATTGGATTCTTAAAGAAGGACCTAGAGAAGGGTATTGGTTGGTGGGTGGTCTTTTCGCATATTTTATCCATTCTCCAGACGTAATGTCACATTGTTGAAAAGTTACTCGAATTACCTCTAAATCATCTTCGGTGGGAAGAGCTCCACTGCAGTTCGCCTGAACTGCCTGAATTTCAGTATCAATGTCCACGCCGCATTCTCCATTCTCTTCGGCCTGAATTTCATTTTGACCGTCTTCTTGGTCCCCTGTATTAGTCTGCGCCAGTAGGGACTGCTCCTTCTCATTCTGCGGCTGATAGTCGATGTCTGCCGAAAGACGGAGGATGTCGGCCTGAAGGCCCCGGAATTTTGCAACCAAAGGTTCGATGGATGCCTTATTGGTCTCTAGAAGTGACCTCATGCGTGCTAGTTCCTTCAGTGTGGGAACCTGACCATCTGCAAATAGCGAAAGTAGATAAAGTTGGGTTCGTAGTTGTTATCGCCGACTTGAGGGTATGAGTGATGTTTCTGTCGGACTTTCGCTATAAGTGTACAATGTTACCGATCTGAGACAACTGAATGAATAGGACAGAATAAAAAAATTATGCAGTCGCCTAGACTCATAGACATTTTGTTCCTTTATCTAAAGAGAGCTCGTCACATGAATCCTAAATACGTTTAGATTATACACCATCGGTTTCCGATTCCCACGACCGTAGCGCTTGATCATTCTCTGGAATTCATATATCAAAAACCTCATAGATAGCCGTGGAGGACCCACTACGGAGCCGAATCCCTCTCTGTTGCATCGTGGAGCAGCAAAAACATCGTCTTAACACGTGTCTAGGCTTTTAGCTAGTACGGATGTCGAGAATATGGAATAACATCTTTGCCATATATATGTTGACTGTGTTCACCATCCACCGAAGAAGACGAAGAAGAAAGGGCGATTTCGTATACCAAGTTGTATTCATGCCAACCTTTTGGGAATTCGGCCTTGTGGCCGCGGCGGCGAGGCAGTGCTACGTCGGTCATGCGACTTCCGGTCGGCGCCTGCTCATTTCTCGACAGGCGTCGGCTGTAGGCCCCGCATGACTATTTTTATCCGTCCTATTGGTCCCGTCTGAACGGACTCGAATCTTGTTGCGAGCGCCAAGTTGACGGTTAGTAGGTCTATGGCTCGGTTCAGTGTTCCAGTCGGCGACCAAATTTTCAGCATCAGTTTTGCCGCTTTATTATTGACTCGTCCGATAAACCTCATTTTCTGCTGTCAAATGCGGCCACAGACTAGCGGCAGTCCATCTTGCGGTTGATTGCAAGTTGCCGTTCGTGCAATCTCGTGCCAAGGCTATTGCCTGCTTCTTATCAAAATCTTAACGTGAAGTGTCGCTGGCAGCGAGGCTTTGGACTTCGTGATTTGCGGTCTGATTGTTGATAGCAGTTGGTGAACTAAAACAATCCCAAAAAGTTTCAAGAATCCTGATTTTGCTTGTGAAACATTCTTCACATATTGACGATCGGTACTGATCGTGAAACAGCTGCCTGCTTCTGTCGTATTAGCATCTTAACGCGCATTTTATATCTTATATATTCCGCTCACCATCTCCAAAAGAAGACGAGGATGAAAAAGAAGCGATTCCATGGACCACGCTGTATTGGTGCTGAGGTTTTGGAAACTTCCTCGTCTTCATCATCAAAGTTGTGAGGTGTTTGTTCCTGCTGGCCCAAAGTTGTCCTGTCCCACCACCTGTCTCGTATTTAAGGCACGCCTGGTGCCCGAACTCTGATCTCCCTGCTGGTGTAGAAGTGGCTTTGGTCTCTCCGTGGCCGTATGCTGGGCCGCTCGTGTGACCTCTGTTCCCTGCCAAGTCGCTGCTATGTCCGCGTGCTCATATATATATGAGATGATGCAGACAAAGACAAGGGAGACCAGAATGGCCATTTCTGGCTTATTAGCCGTCATCAGCCAGTCATACCCAACCCCAAGTGTGGATCACTTGATATTCGAACCCGGGATCTTTGGTCATGGAGTTTGACGCTCTACCATTGAGCCACGGGCCCGTTGTCCTGTCAGTTGTGATCGGGAATATTAATTATGACAGTGGGCGCTCGCCGATCAGTTGACGGAACATGCTCGTTCCGTTGTGCCTTGGGGCTCATACTTAAACCCTCGCAGGCAGTCACACAGCGATCAGTATTAGACATAGATGAGGTGATACCGACAAAAACAAGGGAGACCGGAATGGCCATTTCTGGCTTATTAGCCGTCATCAGCGCCAAACTCCATGACCAAAGATCCCGGGTTCGAATCTCCAGTGATCCACACTTGGGGTTGGGTATGACTGGCTGATGACGGCTAATAAGCCAGAAATAGCCATTCCGGTCTCCCTGGTCTTTGTCGGTACCATCTCATCTATATCTACTACTAGTCGCTGTGCGACTGCCTGCGAGGGTTTAAGTATGAGCCCCAAGGCACAACGGAACAAGCATGTTCCGCAACCTGATCGGTGAGCGCCCACTATCATAATATATATATATATATATATTGGATAGCTGAGGTACTGTGCATTCCGAGATAATATGATGAAGAGAGAAGGCTCGTCGGAAAAACGAGTACAACTCAATTTTTCCGACGAGCCTTCTCTCTTCTTCATATATATATATATATATTGGTGGGGGGCCCTCACCGATCGTTCTTGCTGAACTTACTCATTCCGTTGTGCCTTATGGACTCTCTTTCGAGCCCAACCAGCAGCCGCACAGCGGCGCATGATATAGGCAGAATGATATTACCGACAAAGACAAGGGAAACTGGAATGGCCATATACATATATAGTGTTGGGTTCGTCCATCAAGGCACTTACAGCACGGAACACGTTTGTCCTCTTATTTTTCAGTCCTCGGGCTTGAGCACACTGACAATTTCCAGGTAAAAATCAACAAGATTGCAGTGTAAATGTTTATGTGCTCAAGGGAAGTGTTTTTATTTTAAAATTCTGAACTGTCTAATTGTTGACAACTTTGACCGTCTAACTGACTGTCGACAATTTAACGTGACTTCTAATAACCTTTGGAGCATCTGTCGTCGACACTGCTTCCATATACAATACGAGGTCATCGAGTTAGAATGACAGTAATAGGCACTTACCAGAGGATAGCGGGCTTGCGACTGGTGGAAATTCTTGCATTTTTCGTTTGATTGATTCTGCATCTAGCCCCATCTGGACGCTGATTCGAAGGAGCTCTTTCCGAAGATTTCTGTATTCTGCTATCCTCTTCGCTCGTTCATCCTGCAGTTCCTTCACTTTCTCTTCTAGGTCCTAAATACAACGAGAGTATTTGACGAGGCAGGCTTTACTGGCCGCGGCGTTAGGTTTTACCGTGCTTTTCCATACGCAGTCGGCTGTCGTATTTGAGAGTGACGCATCGTGCTATATGAGTGCCACCTACTGCATCCTAGTCTCCATGTACTGTCAACGTACGTACCAACTCAGGTAAATGTCTGACCTTTAGGGCAGAGGTCATCTCTCATGCTGCTTGCGTAGCTGAACAAAATTAAAAACCTTCACTGACGGCAGTTTGACGAGCGACCCGAAAGAGCCGCAGAGAGTTGAAAGTAAACAGAAGCCTGCAAGCTGTAAGAACCTGCTAAGCAGCAAGTCTCGAGTATGTACACTGACTGTTGACATGCCATACAATTGGACGACGCTCTCCTGATGTTTTGGAGAAAGTAACTTCTGTCCACATATGAATCGCTATTTTAGTTCCTTAAACTTATTACTAGTGCTATCCCTCATAACCTAACCTTGGTCCTCCAAACCTAACCTAAATACTAATGTCCCTGAAATCTAGCACAAGACCACATGTAATATAGGGGTTTTGTATTCGTGTGCGCTACCCGCTATGAATAATTGCTATATATAAATTATAAACAAAGTTCTGGCATAAATTGTATCGTTATTCTTTTGAGTATATCTATGCTTAGCAAAGTCCCCTAATGGGGATTCTCCTGCTTCTTGTAGTTGAACGGTCGAATTAAGATAATGGTTTAAACCCGCAGTATTTCTTAAGGATTACCGGTCAGATATGGTTATGTAGTCCCACCTGAAGTAAATAAACCCCAACCACGTGCAATAGGTGGCCGGTGGTAATAGGGATTTTATTACAGTTGGAGCCGGGAAACGCACGGGCGACAAGGTCAAGTAGTTGTATGCAAACGAAACGCTAATGGGAATGCGCTAAATAACTGCATTTTACCGGATTTCCTACTTACTAATACGTAATAATGTAGGAAACTTATTTGTTTATTGACGACCGTAATATCACGATTTCTTAGGCCAAACTGATGATCCATAGACTGGTGATAGGTTTCTAAGCGTTTAAAACTTGAATACGATTATAATGGCAGTCCAGATTACCAAAATGAAGTGATTATTTTCAGCAAGCGTTAAGGAATTTTAAGCCTGTTAAATTCATCCTATTTTTCCATAAGCACGCGACGTGCACTCTGCAGCGCAAACCTTCTATTCGATCAAAAGATTTCTTTTGAATATTTAAACTGACGTCTATCGATTTCCATAGTAGAGGTGGCTTTTCGATAAACTTTGACCGTAAACCTGAGCTGACCCTGGGATGTAGCGCAGGGCCGCTTTTAATACGAGAGGTTACCTGTTCTTCTACGTTACCGTGTGCTTTCTGATCTTAAGTAACGAACAATGCCCTGAACCTAACGCAGGACGTTAAAAATCCTGGGATATGGAACGAAATATCTTTGGTTTTATTGTAATGGCGTCTTCTTAATGTGATATTTATGACACACTAGTCAAAACAGTCAATACACCCCAGTGTAATTGAAGCCTGGACCATCGGCAGTTAGAAGTAGATAAACACACTGATGAACTGTACCCTGAAGTCATTAATAGTTTGATAAGAAAGCTGGAAACCTATCCTTTTTTTAATCGGATTCATGAGCCTGAAAAGTAACCACGCCATGTAAAGGTATTATGTTCAATCTTCCTGCGGCTTTATGGCGTACGTTGCCCTTAAGCAAATAAGTAGACGAAGCGTAATTTTGTGGTGGACTGCGGAATATCAGCTGAATAAATTCAACACAAACAAATGAATAGAGTAAGTACGCAGTCGAAAATACTATTTCCGTAGTCAGTAACTAAATGAACACGTTGCCCAACTAAAGTAGGTAGCAATCGCGTAAGCCCAAATTTGTGTGGATAGTTAGACTTGCATGCATTTCTACAAAACGCCGGAGTAAAATACAAAATGGCGCTGCACCCATCCAAAGGGCTTTATTTTTTGGTTATTTTATTGCATACGTTATCGCGCCGATTTATCAAGATGCTCCGTCTTCCACAAGATTACGTGGAAAGGGCAATACTTACATTTTAAAAGCTTTGCGCCAATACAATGGAAACGTAATCTATTACATACTCTTTTTCAAAGAGCGAGAAATATTTGCCCCAGGGAGACCATAGATATAGAAACTGCCCGAATCAAAGCAGCCTTACGTAACCGTGGTTATCCTGCACGCTTCATTCAGAAGTACAGCAGCCATTTACGGCCCAAATTGACGGAACAATCCGTTCCGAAGAAACCCGTTATGATATGTTTACATTTTAAGGATGACAACGTCTCAAACACAATCAAGCGACGCTTGCGTTGCACTATAGAAAGAACGTACAACGCAGCAGAGCTTATCTTCATCAGTTCCACAAAAAGCCTTCCAATTAACCGGGCAAAGGATGCCTTGCCAATGCACGCCAGCCCAAATTGTGTGTATGAATTCACATGCACTTGCGGATGCAAGTACATTGGGCGAACGCAAAGGCAATTGGCAACCAGGGCCACTGAGCTTTTGCCTAATTGGCTTTTAAAACAGGAAAGCAAAACCCCCCGTTTGTCTATAACGAAACACCTGTTAGATAGCGGTCATGTTGTCGACCCTAAAGCATCTTGTCGAGTACTTGTCCGAGCGCATACAACTCGAACCTTGCGTTATTTGGAAGCAGCTTACATACGGAGGGAGAAACCAGACCTGTGCAAGCAGTTAGATCACGTGATCAATCTGCAATTGCCCTGGTAATCTCACGCCTCGAATTTCCCCTGACTGTGATTTGTTGTTAACATTTCGTCTACCTCTTTCCTATATTATGCTTATGTGGACGTCTTATCTGATTATTCATTGCCTTAAACCTTGACCTTGCTCTTATGCACTGCCACTCTGTACAAATTCAAACTGCTTTGCGCTTTCATTCGTTACCTATGTTATGCAGAGACGGGCTGCAGTTGAAAAGCCGTCACGAAATATATTGACCCCAGTAAATTCTGCTGTACATGCTTGTTATCAAGGTGTGTCTGAACATAACTCAATGCATGTTTATTGTTTAAACAAATCCCCATCACATAAGTTGCGTAGAAAAATATACTTGGAGCAGAGAGCTCCCATAACAAGTCTCCAGGTAACATTTTTTATAGACCTAGGCGGGGAGAATTGCGCATGCGACTGCTAACATTTAAGCCCCATAACTATTGCCGCAAATCACTTTATTACCGGTCCCGTACGTAGTGAAAAATGAAGGGTGTCTGAAGAAGATTTCTTGGCCTAAACTACCATATCAGATGTTCAGTAAAGCCTCTGATGAAGTCCATAAGTGCTGCAAAGTGTACCTGCAATTTCAGCATTTCAATAAATTTATCACCACAATGGATTTATGTTTTAGACTCAGTTTCAGAGTGTCCTCAAACGGATAGCAAATGATAGGGAGCAAAAACTGACTACTCGTTTTTTCTGTTATTAGTACTGGATCGATGAACAGAACTTTAGGTAAATAATTATTTTTCGCCGCCCGCCGCAGATTCCTAGAAGATGATTGGCTTTTAATGAATGTACGGAAGTCAAAATGCATCGCCATTATGTGCGGGCATGATTTTGGGCGTCATAAGGATACTTTATTTTCATAGGAATCTGCGTCCATGGTTTGTTCACTGGTGTGACAACCAGCATATAACCCGCCCAACATGCAAGGCAATCTCAAATACTTCGCGTGTACCGTCGTTATGGTGCCGATGCCTCATGCCTGACGATCTACACATCGCAAGGTCAACAGTCATAAAAACGTCCAGCAAAAATGACCCTGTGGTTAAGTTTAGTCACCGTATTTATTTTCTTCCAAAGTGGATCCACGCGGCATACTGCCATTATCGAATTAACCTGGGGTCACATTTCATGTAAACCAGCCGGAAACGCGCACCAACGTAAACACTTTTTAGGCCAAATATATCCTCAAATTCAAAAGGCAAGTTGGCAAGCATACGTCTGCTTTCGATAAATCCTCTTCAGGCCTGTACATTTATATGGCTATTAAAGTAATTAATTTAACGAAACGGGCAAGTAGATAATTAAGCTGTAGCTCGGGTTTGGGAGGGGAGGGGGAGAGTGAAACACCACAATTTCAGTCAGCGTCAGGGAGAAGGTGGGTCCAGGTGAAGGTAATTACATGCGGGTGGCTGGCTTAGTGGCTTTGAGCCATGACAAATGTGGGACCTGTATGGAGTTCTTCTGTGCGCATAGGACCGGTCCGCGTAGACTGATTGTAGCCGCCTCTGCCGTAGCCAACAAGCGCTGCCCAAGCAGTTTTGGGTAGCTTGATGGGACCTTGTAAATCACTCTGAAGGCCCCTCTGGCGTCTGCACGGTGATCTGTGTTTACCATATGCGCGAGGATCGAGCTGTTGATGTTCCTTATTTGACCCTTTCCTAACCATGCTGGAAAATGTTATTTTATTCTTTTGGATAAACGCCGGCCCGTGCGACCAATATATTCTGCCCCACAGGAACAGGTGAAGGAGTAAATACACATAGAGGTGGTCTGAGCTGGTAGTTTGGCCTTGCCCTCTCCGTACAGGATGGGACTGGTGGAGAACAGTACACGGGTGTCAGCTGCTGGAAAGGTCTTTGAAACAGCTTGAGTTAGACGCCTTCTTGTGGTGTTTCACTCTCCCCATTCCCTCCCCACTCCAAACCCGAGCTACAGCTTAACTATATACTTGCTCATATCTTTTAATTCATTATTTCAATAGCCTTGTAAGTGTGCAGGCCTGAAGAGAATTTATCAAAACCCGACGTATGCTCGCCGAATTGCCTTTTGAATATCCTTAAATACGTGCCAAAGTTGCATAAACTCCGAGGCATGTTGAAACTTTGGCAAATGTAAGTTTCTGAAAGTGGGCATATTTTGTTTTCCTAATTTACGAATGAAATACCGAATGTGGTTACGCGATTTGACGTAATAGGCTGCATTATGGGGACAACCAGTCTGTCAGCGACAGGGCGTTCATAGTTGTTTAAAAGGTCCACAAAATTAAAACGAGCCTATATGCAAAAGCAGCGTTTACGCGCTACAAAATCCCTAGTCACATTTTGCGTTTCTTAAAACAATAGCCATAAATTGCAGGCATATTCAGGCGAGGCCTGTTTTACTTGACCTTGTGCAATTCAATAAAACGAGAAGAAGGAAGGGCGTTGCCCACGTTCGTTGATATCCTTGGAGAGCTAAGTCGTTTAGGTCACCCCGCCCTAAAACCGGAGTCATCGAGGGCCTTTCTCTGAGGCCTAATATCGGCAGACTAGACGCGGCGAGAAATAAGTTCCACTCAATAAGAAAACGATAAGGGGCTATTGTTCGCAGGCGTTGAATATCGCGAAGGTATGTAAGGTCAACAGAATTAACAGCCTTCGTTCAATGCAATGGCTTTGTGAATAACCAATCACGTTACGGAGAGATTTCGGAAGGACTGCAGTCAATGGGCCGCTTAGTTTTTTGGGAGTATCAAATAAGACATAAATTTATCGCATGGATTTTGGAATCTACGTCCATCGTAATTTGAATTGTGATCACTGGAAATGTTGTATTCAGAAATTCCTCTGCTCTTTCACTAGAGACGATGCGAACATAAAAGTGTTTAGCAGGATTCGCAAAATACACACATGCTTCAACGAAAGTCTTATGTGCTGATGAGAGTACGATTAAATTACATGATCGCAATGACAGCCGAATTGCTGCCAACTTTAAGCACGAGAATCTTCATATCAAAGTGGGGTGTGAATTCAATCTACCGGAAACCACAGTGTGAGTACCATAATGGGGATTCATTGGACCATTCTTTTTGACGCTTCTCTGATTGGTCTCAATTAAATAGACAGACCGTGTCAGTCCGCCATGTCAGTGTCTTGGGAGGTATTTGAAATGTTAACTGAAATGCGTTTTCGATAAGAAAGGACTGCTTTGTGTTTTAATATTAACCACCATGCATTTGTTGGGTTCAGAAAGATAGGCGGTTCCACACTATCACTGTGGCGAAAGATCCTACCATGATGTGACCTTGCCATCTAGGTGAGTTGATTGAAGTGGTTTCCTTGAACACCCTTTTCGTTCACCAGATTGGGCATGTCTCAACTTTTTGGGGTCGGCTTTAGTAACGGCTCACGCCTAAAGAAACCGGCTAACCGAACTGACTCAGTATACTCGATTCTACTGCTTCGCGTTATTATCAGATGGGACAGAAGTTTGAAAACAGACCTCTTTCACATTGAGAAAATAAGTTAAATTTTATCAAGAACCCGCGTTATAATGGGACAGAATGTGTATGCATTCTTGGGAGATTGTGTCGGCATTTCACTAGGAGCAGTTTGACATTTTGCCGTATATAGGCTGCAGGCATGGGTTTGGTCTTCGGAGTTGGACTATCTTCAGAATTATATGCTATGTTTGAGGTCTAAGTGAAGAGCAATTTAAGGTCGACGTCAGGTAACGCCACGGATATGCCCTTTTGTGCAAGGGTAATAACGACAGGTGTAATTGGTCACAGGGTGTGTTTGTATACTTTATGAGATTTGCTTGATAGCCTTGGGAACTGTTCGACAAGGAACCCAGCAAGCGACCAAGTAAGACGACGTCTGCAGACAGCGATCACTAGCGCATTCCCCACGACGAATTCACGCGTATGTTTCACAAACTCTCTCCTCCTAAGTTTAGGAAGAAAAGAGCGCTGCAGGTCACATCGATGTGTCTTTACTCATTCACTTGCCACCTGTGAATCGGGTGACATTGGTCGTACAACGAAGCGTTTTTTGTTTTCATCTCTGGCGAGACAGAGATGAAACAGATTAATATGAACTTCTATTCTAGTGCTTCTTGTCGATATGTATCACCGAGTCAATGCCAAGGAAGCCTTTCAGGTTTTCTACTAGACACCAGCAAACGTCTCCAGAGACCTATATCAACGAATACTAACTACAACCGAGACTGTGGTTTTACCGCTGTCGAATTCAGGGCTATGTTGTCAGAAGACGTTGACACAGGCGCTCAGTCCTCAATGGCCAACGCAGACCCAGATGATTATAACACGCCGCCCCGACCGTCTGATGGCACTGATGAGTGCTCAAAGTCCCCGACTAACAAACATCACTCACAGTCTATGTCACCCCTCCTTTGCCTATGTGATCATAACATGCCGACATCGCCATGCGGGTGAGTGGGAATGATGAGTGTTAGCAGCTCCTTAATCACTTATAAACCATGCGAACCTCTTGTATTTTTAATTCGTGCGTGACTGTATTGGCGACTATAGTTGCCGAAAACACGTATATGCCAAATTGAATTCTGAAGTGCATTTTACTAACCGGCGGTTTTGTAATTAGCCACAAAGTGTATACATTTTTGGGACGTCGTGTAAACTTGGCAAATTGTAACTGTTTGCTCTCCCTAAGGAGCTGTTTGACATTTTCCTCCATTTAGCTTGCGGGTGTGGACGTACACACCGGAGTTGGTTGATATTGGGTATTTCATTCAGTGTTGAAGGTTTGAATGTTGATCATTTCAAGATCAGCGTTAGGTAATTCTGCAGATATGCATTTTTGTTTTCCTCAAAAACTGAGATAAGTTCAAGGGAGATAACGACAGGTGTGTCTAACAAACTTCATTTTTCAAATGCCGGAATTAATAATTCAATAGTCAAGGAAAACTACTGACATGTCGGAGTCTAGTTTTACCAGGACTTATTTCCCATCACACACCGAACTTCTTAAATTGGCAAGCGAATCCTTATAATTTTAATTTTCATCAAATTACTGTACGCGAGGATCATAACCCAACTCCTAGACTGAGGAGCTCTGAAAGCTGAGCCTGAGAACGATTAGTTGCATGCAAAACTACCAGCTTCTGAGTCAGAAATTTTCCCAGGCCTTCCTACCTAAGCATGGATACCATTTGATGGCAATTGCAAATAACCTAACCAAGGAGCTTTTAAACAGAAGTCCGGTTCTCACTGGCAAGAATCCTCAATGCACGACTAACTGGCCACTTTCTGTTCCATAATCGCAGACAGTGGTTGCGTAGCTCACTCCGACAACACGGAACTGCGTGCCAACCAGACCTAGGCTAACATCGCATGACTTCGGTGTGTAAAACTCGAATATGAAGGCTCAACAATGATCCAATATCTCTATTAAGGTATTGGCTAGGATTTAGTATATACGTGAGGAAAGAAGCTGCTAAGTCTTGCTTGACAAATTCACCAGGGTTTTCACACTCCTGCTCTACTGGCAGACGTACATAACTAACAATATTTGGGGTATTTTTTACTGTCCCTGCCAAAACGTTTTTTTACAAAATGAGCTTTTCTCTAAGCAAAGAGTTCTGTTTGGGGGTGTTGAACAATGAACTAATGTTCAGCAGTGCTGACCACTCGGGACAAAGGTTATCCTGCCGACGAAGGGGCAAACGAAAACTTTGCCAAACAGCATCAACTTTTAAAAATATTGTTTGCAGTTCTGCACAGTTTTGCCTTAACCTTCGCATATAATTTACTGAGTTGGTGGTTAGGCCGGGAGCTCCGGATTGGCGTGAACCGCTTTTGAAGTTTACTTGAGTGTAAGCACTAATTTGGACAGTCTCGGAAATTATTGCTTATCCAGACCGATAAATTGACAAAAATGAGTACTTTTGCTGCACACTTTGTCGTTGCTCCATATCAGCCGATTCCCCTTTATTCCGTGTACATCCAGAGAGTTTGTTCTGTTTACGGGTGGATAGTGTGAGACATGTGGACCTTCTGGTTATCTTTGATGTTTCCCATGTGCTTCTTTAAAACGTAAGGCCTTTCTTTAATCTAACTGGCTACATTTACACCTGTGACTCTCCTCAATTTCTACTTGACATATAGTTGTACCGGTTAAGTAGTGTGTCACACGCGACTTTTACCAGACACACCTTTACTAAACATATGACAGTTATTGGTGCTATAATGATACATCTCAGCAAACGTTTTCGGATTGCAAGGCATGATAATTACAGGTTCCACAAACAGCAGAACCGTAGCAAAACTCATTTAGCATAAATCTGCGAAGTCAACCCTTTGCATGGTGCCGCCTGTAGAGACTTAAAATTCGCTGCAAAAAGATTTATTTTTGATGAAGAGAGGCCTACGGATGTGCCCTATCTCAGTCGATATACGACTCTAAAGCCAAATTGAACTAGCACCTAATAGGAGCCTTTTTAAACGTAGGCCTGTTTCGAAAGAGTTACTCCAAGTTCGCGCATTAATTTCCTCGAAAATTAAACAAGGCAAGTTGAAACTGGAGTTCATATACCAGAAAACACACGGGGAAAGCTGGGGGACCCACTGACGAGCCGAACCCCTCGCAGCTGCGTCAGGCAGCGCACAAGATCGGCGAAACACGCGTGTCTGGGCTTTTAGCTAATACCTGTGTTGTTAGTACGGTAAATTATTGCACAATGTTATACTACTGGCTGCCTGTTGGCGGTTTGTGAATAGTAAGCGGTTATTCCGCAGTAGCTGATGGATTTCAGCTCAAATCTCCATTATAAAACTCGGACCGTGCCTGTAAAGGTCTGTTTCGAAAGAGTTACTCCAAGTTCGCGCATTAATTTCCTCGAAAATTAAACAAGGCAAGTTGAAACTGGAGTTCATATACCAGAAAACACACGGGGAAAGCTGGGGGACCCACTGACGAGCCGAACCCCTCGCAGCTGCGTCAGGCAGCGCACAAGATCGGCGAAACACGCGTGTCTGGGCTTTTAGCTAATACCTGTGTTGTTAGTACGGTAAATTATTGCACAATGCTATACTACTGGCTGCCTGTTGGCGGTTTGTGAATATTCAGCGGTAATTCCGCATTAGCTAATGGATTTCAGCTCAAATCTCCTTATCAAATTTTAGACCGTGCCTGAAAAGGCCTGTTTCGAAAGAGTTACTCCAAGTTCGCGCATTAATTTCCTCGGAAATTAAGCAACGCAAGTTGAAACTGGAGCCATTTTGAACATAGACAGTCACCTTTTTTAACTGACAAATTGTCAATCCGCGTTCTGGCAGGTAGGGCGGCAAGCCAAGGGACTGGCAGGCTTCTGCTGTTTGCCGTCTACACGCCTCAATTTGAGTGTTAAGCTCCAAGACGGTGGCATTTTCGGCCTGAATGAACTCCGCAAACACCTTTTCCAGGAGAGCGTTCAGCGTTTGTGTTCTGGCTGCCCGTTCGGCCTCGTCGAAGCCTTTAAGGATGAAATAAGCAGGTGGAAATTTCCCAAAATCACAAATCCGGACCTACTGGGGCATTTTAACATCTAAGCCCCTTTTTTATTTCTGTGTGCAGTCATAGGAAGTATCAGAGTGGCAATATGGGGAAGGTGGGAGGAATAAAGATGCTCTGAGCATCCGAAAGATAGAGACTGCAAGTTACTTTTACAGCTAACAAACTGTTGGAAGGATATGCCGCCGCGTCTTCGGGGTCTTTGACTTTAGACATACAGTAGGTGGACCAACTCATGAAATGTGAACCGAAATCCCGAAATGCGTTTTCATTTCGAAAAGATTAATTAAGAGAGGTTGTGAAACTGCTGCACCATTCTATTATAATTCAGTTACCTCAGGATGCCGGGTTCCGAACGAACTTCTTTACGGCTGCATGCAAAAACTACACTCTGTTAAAAACGACTGCTTATGTAGTAAAAATTTTTCTTATTGGTTTTCGACGCCTTCAAAAATTCAGTTATATTTCATGGACAGCACGCATACAAATATTCATTCATTAAATAATTCGGTAGAAAATTACGTTCTCTTACAGTTCTATACTCGAACGGAGGTTCATTTTCGGTTTTCAAAAACTTTTCTAATTCCCCAATAATTTTGAACCCAACCCACCGTTACACTTGCGTTCAGGGTTTCCAAACTACAAGCCGTGTATTTTCCGCGTACGGAAAACCACAGATTTCTCTACGGCATTATGAGGCCAGCATATGAGATTCATAAAATTTATCAGTGGATTTGGCCAATATTGTTAAATTTACAAGCCACATTGGTAAATGCAGAGACATGACATTTCATGAACGGCCATTCAGCGGCATTAGAAAGTCTCACAATTATAACCCTTTGTAAAACCGTATTATTCCCTTCCTTCGAGTATAAAGTTAAAGGAAGACGTAATTTTTTACATGAAAGGCAAAAGAATAAATAGTTTAATGCATATTTTCAAGGAAATATAATTGGACATTTAAGGGCATCGAAAAGCAATGAGAAAAAGTCTTTTTACATAAGTGGTAACTTTTTTCAAAGCATGGTTTTTTTATGCAACCGTAAAGAAGTTCGTTGGAAAGCTGACATCCTGAGATAACTGAAATATTATAGAATTATGTTGCGAGCTGACTAGATTTACAACCCTGCTTAATTAATCTTTTCGAAACGGAAACAATTTTCGGGATTTCGGTTGGCATTCCATGAGGTAGCCCGTCTACTGACCCCTTCAAGATACACTAATATACTAAAAGTCCGTGGTAAACCAGAGTACTTCCTACTAGAATTGCTTGCGTACGGTGGAACAAAAATGGTCAGCACTTTTTGCTGACTAAAGATTAGCATACATATAAATTTTGTGGAATACCAATTGTTCAAGAAAAAGTCCGCAAGATGTCTGCAAGACAAACCCCACACCAACTTCCCCACGATTCGGTCAGCTAGCCCACTAGTTTTATGAGACTGTCCAAGGGACAAATGACAGTGGCTCAAGAAAATACGTTAAAATATCCGTTGCGCTCAACCACTCTTCCTGATTTATTAGAATTTTAGGCGAATACCTTTGTCGTTTAACAGCGATGAATTAGCAAAAACGGAGACGTTCTCTTCCTTTAGGGAATCAAGTGTAATATTTGTTGTTCAGCCGTAGGATTTAAATGCTTGATGAATTATTCAGTTATCTGTCACCGCTTTCAGATATATGACTTTATGGAGTTTTTTACACCTCAGTGTTTAAAATTCACGTCCCTTTCCATGAAAATAAGGCGAAGTCTAGGGTTGTTGGCGGGAAACCACGGATGATAAGCCTAGTCTCCTTTTAGCCTTCGTCTACGATTCCGACCTAAATCAGCATTTTGACGCAGCAGATGGAGTCTGGCAAGTTTACAGAATTCCTCATTTGACTGCTAGCAGATAGGTCTACTTGGGGTAACCAGAAAGCATATTGTAGCAGACGCCACGGGTGCATTATGAGACCCACTCTCGAAGCAAAATTCATCAAGCGTACTAAAGTATTTGTCTAACGTGTGTTGTGCTTTAATCCAATCTCGTCCGTATCAGTGGCAAAAAAACAGTGGAGACGGTTTAGCTCACATTTTCGGATTGAGCAAAGCACTGCAGAAATGACTGGTTTTCCCAAGCCCTCCGTTTCTTCGCCTTTAAGGCAAGGATAGCTGTTCTTTCAGACCTATATCCTGGCCTTCGGTTTTTCCTTTAGAGCACGCAATACTGGTCAAACTACTGGGCGCCTATCCCCGCGGATGCGGGCGCACCATCCCGTCTGTCTAACTCAAGATATGAAAAGGTCACTGTCTAGCGCAACTGTGGTTCTGCAGGTTGACAGAGGCCACGGCAAAGACGTCAAAAAAGCATTCCGAGTTATTTACAACGTGCCGGTTAGGTAGTCCAGGTTCACAGGTCATCCGACACTTGCGATGGCAGAGTCTGTGGCCAGAAGTTTAACTAGTGCAAATGTGTGCTGGCATAAGGCGTTTATTCATGCGCTTAGGCTCCCCTGACCGAAGACTAACCAGCATGTACGTCCAGACATCCTGCCGCGTCGTTTGACACGGCAAAACAGAGACCAGAAACCTCCCGCCTCTCGCTCCAATCCCCAAGCCTCTGACCGAACTAGACTGTGATCCCTGAAAGTCCTCAACACTCGTCTGCACCACACTTGCTAATTATTGGCTCATACGCTTGACAACCCACCCTCGTTTGTTTTGATGGAGAGGCTTGTTTACGAATAATTAAAAGCGTTAGGTTGTCGAGCTTGGCTTCGTTGAGGATAACAGAGTCTAGTTCAAAATGTCCGCCTAAAGAACCGATAATTGGGGATGTACCAGAAAGGCAAGCCTCATATTTATATATTGAAGCACTCACAAACATACATTAATAAATTATACTAAATCGCTTGTGAAATAACCGGCGGTACGGTGTCTGTTGAGACCTTCCTATGTGATTCAGTTAATTATCAAAATCCCCAAAAACAACTTGTGGGTAAATAAATGAGAGTGGGACGTTCACTGATCGCGTTAATGGTTAACACCCGTCCCGTTGTGCCTTGGGACTCAACCTCAGACCTCGTCATTATCCGCACAACAGCTGTTAATGTGGGCAAAATAACATAACCGACCAAAACAAGGGTAACTGAAATGTGCGTTTCTAGCCTACTAGCCGTCATCAGCCAGTCATGCCCAACCCCGAGGTGTGCAACTCCTGAGACTCAAATCCGCGACTTAGTGGTTAAGAGTTAAACGTTCCTATTCTCCGGGCCACGGACTCTCCGTCCCATCGGTACCGCAGGAGAATATTTGGGATGGTAGACGGATGTTCACCGGTCCCGTTGCAGGAAACATCTCAGACAGCTGACAGCTAGTGGGCCAGATAAGGGCATTCAAATCTTCCTTTTCTTTGTCAGCATGATATTTTACCTTTTTTAAATTAATTATTGCAACTCCGCAACCAAAGAGATAGTATAGTCTTCAAAAACGTCGCTAACTGCGGTGAACTTTGGCTGAAAAGTTCAGTCCACGCAAGCATTGTGGGGAGTGTCCCTTGGAAATTTGGTAAGCTTAAAAATATGCAAAAGTTGGTCAAACCCGCACTTATCCCGAAAAGAAGTGGTGACAATGTTTTAACGAAATGTCAATAACCGTAAAGCACAACAGGCTGTGGTCAATAAGCCTAGGGACGACTAAATAAGAGCTCAGGATTCTGTGCACTTCATGTAAGCAAAAATATGCATGCAGATTTTCCCCAGAGTAAAATAATAAGAGTTTACTTTGCCTCTGATGTCCCCATATTAAGTATAGCTAAACTTTTAGTCATCAGCTGAACTGTACATCTTAGATGACAACTCGCGGTTGCTAAGAAAGCAGGAAAAACACTGCATATAAAGAAACTCTCTGACAGCTGAAGATGGGTGTCAGGACAATTTCTCGGTTGCTTTTCGCTGCATCTTGATCTTCTAAGCCGACGACGTTCAAATGCCCATTTCTCAAAAAAGGTGGAAAACAACATAACTGAAAGACCCACTTACCGACGTAATTCCAAAGATTGGCTAGTTCATCCGCGTTTTTGTATAGTCCAGCGCTCAGTTGGGCACAGATTGCATCTCCGGAGTCCATTGTGCGCAATAACTGCAAAAGAACGCGGGATAATCAGCATCTTGCTAAAATGTCTGACTTGTAAATATAGTCATTCGGGATGATATTCCAATGTCTTTTCTTCTGTGGAATCAAAATTCAGTCATGAATGAGGGCTAACTATATGCTCTTCGTTTAGAATTCGTTGAAGTCAAGAGAAATTTACCAAGGTTTTGGTCACCATTGTTTTACGAATTTCTGCCAACAGGGCAAACTCATTGAAGGAGAAGCGACTCTTTTAAGACTTAGATTTTAGAAGAAGACTGGCGTTTGGGCTGAGTTAATGAGTTTATATATGCCGGTCGGGGGATCGAGCCCCTGATGTTCCCCATTATGGGACTGGTTATGACTGGCAGACGACGGCTTATACGCCTGAAATTACCATTCCAGTCTCCCTCGTTTTTGTCGCTAATGTCTACACGCCTACATGCAATATTTATGTCAAGTCTATGAATCAGCGTAGACCTAATAATGTAGCGTTCTTGATCTTGGTCGTGCGGTTTGGTCTTGGTCGATTGCGAGTTAATTTTAAAATTTCGATCTTGAACTTGTAGAAGGTTTTCATGTTTAGCCTGTATTCACAGCCAAAAGGGGATGTGCTGTTGCGTATGCGTTTAGTGTTATCATTCTGCAAACGGCACACGTGTAATGAAAATTTTTTATTCCTCTAGACCACTAAGGAGGTGCCAAATAGGGCCACCACGATTTTGAAACGGATGTGCGCTGTGTAGTTAACTTCATGAGTCACATTATTAAACGCACAGATGCCAAGTCATTTGGATGCTTACCGCACGGTCTTTAAAACAACATAATTATTCATTACAGTTCGCCTAAAGGCAAGCAGTATTACGGCTCCACTTGAGCATTCCCGTCTAATTTGATACAGGTTTCAGAATTACTGCCAATATTTAATGAGATGGCCCAAAGACTGTAGTCTTTAAAGCCAATACGAAGTCTCAGTTGTTCTTCCGCTTACTAAACAGAACACGACTGTTTCTAATAAAACCCACGCCTGTAAAGTTCTGGCAGTATCACATGTTACCGATTAAATGGAGTTTTGTAAACTGCAATATTTAAACACTTGCTCCTCTTTGAGGAAAAAACTTTGCTCTTCATGTCATTTCTATTTCCTTTTCATAAATTCTGAAGCGCTTTCGCCTTACCATTGCATATGTTACGAAATGTACAGAATCGCATTCTGCGGCGTGAATCGTCGTATAATTAAAAACTATCAGTTGCCCGATTTTCTCGAGCTCGCGAGTCTGGAAAGTTGAAACAAGATATTTCGAAAGAATGATAGAAAGTAAGTACTTATCTGAGTGTTGAGCTTCCGTCAATGCCTTTTGAATGCATTAAGTCGCACTTTAAAAAGGTCAGTGTAAATATGACATTTTTTTCCGTTCGTAGGTTTTAAATGATTTAAATACATGCCAAAAGCCAAAAACTTGCGAAAGGCGTTTGAAACCTTATTTAGTCCATCAGAGCAGCAGTTAGCAGATGTATTTTAAAAAACGACGTTCTTGTACCTGCGAAAATAACAATCGACGATGTTCGTTAGTTTTGACAATCTCACAGTTTTCTATGGCTTTTTGAATGGAATCCATGACACTCGGTATATTAGCCGTAAATCATATGTCTCATAGGAATTTAACAAAAATCAGTTTTTCATGGTTAGGAATCAGTCGTTCTGAAAAGATCGGCATAAAAGAGAAAAACAACAAGGGACGAAAATAAAGACGCTAAACCCAACACCACGCCCTAGATTTTGAGCTGATGAGTAATATGCCCAGGGTTTGTTCTATGGGAGTAAACGCCCCAGGCAAAGAATGCTAGGCGGCAAAAAATCAATGCCCGGTGCGGCGTGTTGCCAAGCAAACGTGCGGAATTAGAAATTAGCTGCGGATTGGGAAAGCGGTGGAGCACTTGCAAAGAAGAGTCAAAGACCTGAAAGGTGCCACTGCTGAGTCTAATTTTATAAGGGTCAGAGATAAGCGAACGACACGGACTAACGAGCGACAATGTGGTCGCATAAAATTCTGGTTGTCCGATGACAAGAATTTATTACTCATGCGTATTGGACGCAGGGATCCGTACCCCCCCCCCTCGCCCTCCATACAGGTAACCTTGCTCTAAATTTCAAAGGGTAGGTTAAGGATTTAAGATAGAGCTACAATTATGATTATGGCCAAGTTGAGGTTTATGTTTAGGCTTAGTAAACGGAAATTGGCACTGCCGTATTTTGCCTCAAAAGCACTTGCTATACTGCGTTTCTATACGTGTGTTCTTGGCCTATAAATGTGTTCTCCAAAATCACAGGGTATAAGTCTTATTTAAAAGAATGCTGTTATTTAATCATCCATCTGGATGACATGAAAAAACGTAACAGGAATTTGTTTTTTCTGCCTCCACACGACTCCCGAGTTAACGATCGTGATGCGATCCCTTTCGTCTTTCAGTAAATCTAAGGCTTTTGCCAAATGTGTCGGAGCGTAGGTTGCGCGTGAAGGAAACGCGCAGTTTGAATTTTGGTTTGTTTCTTACGCATCGCATAGTGGGTGTCTGTTTACTTCCCTATCCGAAAGAATTTAAGGCAATCCTGACAGAGATAAGTCAACCCAGGCAATGACCATTAAACGGAATCTCTAAATTCTCAATGTAGGGACGTAATATATTTCGGGGGAATATATGGCTTCTGCCTACTTATTTGTGGACTGTCGGTTCACGTGCTTAAACACAAGAATTTTGATTTTCGCTTCCCGTAGTCAACTTTAAATCCAACACTTATCTTGTCTTAATAACCTCATATTGCAACTAAACATCAACAATTTTACAAGTTGCAGATATCCAGACGTCTCTAATCCTTCTTTCTGCTTTCCAGCCTTAACTCATAAAACTAGAAAGTGATTTTTTGGTAAAGTTGTCTGGACTTACACTTTGTTACTTAACGGCTAAATTACTCGTCCGGCTATTGCAGAGAACAAAGCTCACTGAATGCAGCTGAAGACAAAACACAGCTAGCAGTTCTCAAAATAGTTAAAACAGGAGAACAATTTTTATAACAGATGCATTTCAAATTAGAGGCATGATGTAAGTTACATTAAACAAAATAGCTGACTGAATGTGGTGCAGCATTCTCTCAAAAAAATAACCAAAAACAAATCATATAATAAATTAAAAGGACTTAGGGGCGAGTGTAGGGCAGATCTCTGTGAGACGAATCGACGCACATCAGGCAATAGCGAGAAAGGAGCATTTACCACGTTACTAACGAGTTTTCCTTCCTGTCCGAGAAACTAACCGCTGATTGGCTGCCTATCCAGCCAATCACATAGACTTGTCGACCGCTAATAATAGCAAACAAAAGGGCAGGCAGATTTTGACCAGTAAAATAGGACGAAAATGCAGTTTATTTCTGATAGTGAAGCCCATTTTTCGCGGTTATTGTGTCGATTAATATCGTGCGCATGAGTTATTTTTCAGTTCCCGCATAGGTGTTACCTGACGGATTTCAGTGAAGTTTAGTAATTTAACTTTCCACACGGAGTCTTATTATTTGATTGAAGTTTAAAAGCATTCAATCAAGTCCCCCTAATAGGGACAAACCATTGAATTGCCATAAAGTCATTTGTTCGCGGAGTTTACGACTTATTAATTATGCTCCTTTGATTGACTGGGTTCCATATCCTTCATCAAACATTCAAACTCGACCTGAATTTGACATTGCATTGATAGTTTGAGTATTTTTTGTTTGATTATGGTATTTGTTATTTAATTGCTTCAGAGTGTCTTCATTTTCCTAGATGAGATGACTATTTTGTAACTTTTATGCATCAGATGAGAAATATTCAAAGACAACTGTTTATGAATACTGTTTTATGAATGCTCGATACTGTTGCCGGTTCTGGTCTCAGTTTCTGCTAGGAATGTAGAAATTCTTTGCTGTCGCACTAAACAAGCAAACAACGTTTGGTAGAAGGGTTATCAACGGTTGCGTTACGGAATTCAGTCGTCCCATTGTGCCATGGGGCTCTCTCTCGCAAGCCCCTCCAACAGCCGCAACGCGGTGAGCGATATCGGCAGAATAAAAACCAATAGTGCAACGAGCCCGTGGCTCAATAGTTAGGGCCGTTGGACCTCCAACCAAATGGTCGGCAGATTGAGTCCCAGGTGGTCCACACCTTGAGGTTGGGCATAACTGGCTAACGACGGCTAATAAGCTAGAAATGGTCATTCCAGCCTCCCTTGTCTTTGTCAGGAACGCTATTTAAACAACATCTGCTAGAGACAGTAGGTGCTGTCGTTGCTTGCGTGTTGGGGCAGATTTACTTCATGATGGAATGCTATAGTTAGTCTCTTTTAATTACAAGAGGCGTTCACGTTGCAGCATATTACTTAAACATTTGGGGTCAGTATCTGGAAGCTTAGTTTCCTTAATCGTTAGATAACTGATTTCGCGTATGTTTGGGGCCAATTACCGATGGCTAAGTTTTTTGTTTTTTCGGTTAACTTAATTACAAAGTCAAACAAAAATGAATAGCTGAGCATAAGCTCATGCGGAGGTTCGCGTACGGTTTTCCAGACGAGTTATAGATTGATTGCAAAATTTTATGGAACGTTCGCTCCTCAGGTTAAATATAACATTATAGAACAGAAAAATGTCGGTAATTATGCCTCCCAGACATTTATTTACACAGGTCGGTCCTAGTTCTCGGCCACAGAAGTTCTAACAAATAAGAAAATGACCATTGGAGGTAGGGGTAAAAGTAGACGAATGTTTGATTTTGAGGATTTTTTCCGACGACGCCTGAGAAATACTACCGAATGATGTTGTCTACCAGAAGGGTCTCCGACATATTGGTAACGAAAGATAAAAGAGGAAATTGATTTAATAACATAAATTATTTCAATATATCAACACCCGCAGAAATACATTTGCACAGCCAGGATTGGAAAGCTAGAGAGGAAGGAGGACTCTAAACAGA